TCCAATGGCCATCGATGGCAAACCACATAAGATAGAGAGACATAGAAACCCATAAGCGAGGAAATTTATCTCGTCGTGAACATTCAGTATGCGTGCATTACTTCGCTGCGACCGATTGCATAAGAACGGCAATGTATCAATAAATAAATCGATATTGATCGAATAATAATAATAAAATTGACGATGTTATCACAATTAAATTTATATCCAAATGCCAATCACAATAAACAAAAGACGCGGCAGTAATTTCATTTGAATTAAGTAATTTCACGCTACGACCGCAACAATAAAATCAAAGGAGCACCACCAACAAAAAATTATTAATGTGAACAAAGTTCATTTGCGGTGAAACACCTTTCCATGAAAATACCTCATGTTTATTCCGCGTAAAAACGAAGCAGCAGGTGCCTTCAGAAAGGCAATCATTAAAATCGTATAAAAACGAAACGTTTTTTATACGTTTGATACTTAAATGCCTAATGGGTGGTATGATTAGACAAGGTCGTGTCACATTTTGGCAAGGTTGTGGTTTCTGGTCACCATCGCTGGTGAATCATCAGCGATTAAATGTTTGCTCTTATTTCTCCAACATAAGCTTTTGAATTAAAAATAATAGAAATGTTTCGACCGCAAATGTCGAAACACTGTCGCAAGACATGCAAGCACACACACCTAACCTAATTATAAGATATTAAAATTAATTAGCGACTAATTTGTCTGGCATTTCCTGTTTCAGTGACGGTGAGAGGAAATAGTGCAGGCTAACATTTAGGGAAAAAATAACCATTAACGTTATGATTATTGACACGAGGTCGTCAAAAAAATGCACCGACAAAGAACCATGGAACACTCTTGTAGGTACCCAACCTAAATGCTACTTTGAAAATCGTAGGTTAATTCCATTAATAAAAAAAAATGACGCACCGAATGCAAGCGTCGGAATTTCTTCCTAAATCAAATGAGAGCGTGAGGTAGAAAGACAATGAAATAAAATCATCGCAAGCAGCTGGACGAGCGATGTGTGAGGTTGAGGCGAAGGAGCCCAAACAAAAGTCAGCGGAAAAACCACAAACAGCATAAATACAAGAATTAGAGTGTTTAGTGTTAATTAGATTTATCAGTCCGTCCTTTTATGACTCAATAAAACCAAAATCAAGGGAAAATTAAAGAAGTTCATTTATTCTTATTTTAATGATGGTCATTTTTTGTGTGGATTGAAAATTAGAGCAATTTAGGTAGTAAAGGTATGTGGGTTTCTTCGGAATCTCGTGAATTTTTATCGCTTGAGATTTTTGCGCAGACGCAACATGCGCGAAGGCATTTTAACGTTCGCAAATCGCACAATGTGCACGTGTCTCTAATGATGTTTATTTATTTGTAATTGTGCACTCGCAGCAAATTATTTTAATTGCGCGCACAACACGTGTATAATTACGCACGAATTTAACAATGTGTATTTTTTTACAATTGTATTCCCAATTTATAAACTAATATATGTGCGATAAGCATTTATTTCTTTCCTGTCTAAGCATTAAAGTAGTTTTCTTTGTACTGTTTTCAAAAATACTGTAATACCTACACTTTATTGCGTTTAAACATGAAATATAGTAAATCAATGTCGTAATAAATTGCACCAACCATTAAATATGACATAAAACATTCTTTTCGACTTATTAAATATACAATCTTATAATTTTACGAGTTTACTAGTCCTAAAAATGATACAAATGAAAACAAAAGCGTTTAATAACAATTTTCATTGTGAGTATTAATGACGCAGAACGCACGGAATTATTATCGAATTCAATCAGGGTTTTAACTTGTGTGGTATATTTAGACCGGTGGCATTTAAACGAGGGTGAAATAATTTACGATTTTCGCATTTTTTAGCAGAGCGCAAATTTCAGCTTGAAAGTATGCACCGGCATTAATGCGAAATTAACGTTTGGATTTTATAACGATGTTTTAATACACTGCGCGTTCCGGAGAGTCCAAGTTCATCGGCGGCTGAAAGCTGAAAGCACTTGAATTAATTGTGCCATTAAAGCAAAATAATCGCGGCTGTATTTCACAAACGATTGATTAAAATCAATTTAGATTACCCGTTGGTTTTTCGGCCGGTTGCGGGTCCAAGTCGAGCAGTGTGGTTCGTTAAAAATCGTCCGAGTGCGCGCGCATTCATATAAGCTACAGCGTTGTTCTCGTTAAGCGCAACAATTAGTTTTAATTAATTGCGCTCGTCGGCGGGCATAATGTGGGAATTTCGCCCGGCGCACGCCCGACGTTTATTTCTCATTTAAGGTGAAAAAGCAGGCGGCGTTGTTAATTAGATGAGCGTCGATCTGGTTTCGGCTTCGATAATGGCGGCCGAATTAAGGAATCGATATGTAATTAATTACGCCGGACATGAAATCATCCGAGCGATGCTTAGAATTTTAATTGTGACGGCCCGGGCGTGCGTGTCGCCGATCATCGGGTACATTTTAATTAACGCACCATGTATGGCAAATTGGACGCTTAATATACGCTCGCCTCCGCGACAACGAGCACTTTTTTCACTCCTTCGACAGCTACGCGTATGCCACTGTGAGGGCAATAAAATTCTAATGAGCGGCGCGGTGAATCGGTGCGATATGATTCTGCGGCATGTCGGCTGCGGTTAATTAGGATTTTAATCGGCAATTAATTTGTTGTTGATGTTTACTCAACAGTGAGCAAAACCGGCGCTTCGTTGGAATTGTTTGCATTGTATACCAGCTGAAGAGCGAGAGATGTACCTAAGTAAGTGTTATTGACTTTTCTGCGTATGTGAATGGAATTATCATAATCCGTCGGTGGAAGTGGTTAATGTCGGCCATTGTGCGTTTAGGGAAAGGGGCAAATTACCGCGAGACGTGCGATTTTACATGCGACGATACTTGGAAGCTCTCGCCACCACAGAAACAATCGTGTTTTAATAGTTTCGTGTCGCGCGTGCGAGCATTCCTGTGTTTATACAGATTGTTTCAATCAAACCCTTCAAATATTCATTTTTATCCGGAAAAATCAAGTTATTATACTGATTGCATTGATTTGATTAATTAGGAAGTTAAATTAATATGTAAGTATATTATTGTAAGGTGAATAATTCGTTTGTGTCGGGATGTTCCCTTACTGTGTTATTGGTTTCACCAACTAAGGTGGTAAAGCCACGCTTCCATTTGGCATTGTTGAAAATGCGTTGGTTCGACGCGTCGCTTTTGTCCAGCTGCCTCCGAAGGCAATAACGATTTCGTAACAATCGACGCATTGACGACGCATCGACTCGCGTGCGCGACCAATAATTAACGGCAATAATAGCGCTTGAATGTGACATAACGTTTTATTTGATCGTTTTCCAGATGCGCTCTCAACATTGATTGATCCGGCGGCAAGCGAGCGCTGAATACCCCCCGAGGGCGATTACTCGGACGGCACATATGTCTTAATCAAATATGAAACACAATCAATCGCCGGATTCCGCGATTCGTGCGCTTAACGACGATTATGATGCGCATGCGCATTCCGGCGTGCGTGAAAAACGTGAAAAGCGACGCAGCGATGAGGCCAGCAGCGGTGCGCAAACGTGTGGCGGGTAATAACAACGATTCAGTGAGAGTGAAACTAATAGCCATTAATAACATACCGCCAACGCTTTGTAATGTCAGACCTCGAGCGCGCGCGTCCACAGAAAACAACCTAACCTCCTACCTCGTCGTCTTGTTCTTCTTCTTCTTCATCTTCACCTGTTGCACACTCGCAAGCGCAACCGTGAACATAAAACGCTTTTGTTTCGTTTGTGTTTCATATGCGTAGTCGTCTTTATTTTATTTCATCCGCACAACTTGAGTTTGAAAGTTGAAGGAACGCAGAGCAATACCAATACCCAATGGTCGTGATCTTCATCAATTTCACGATCGTTGATTTATTAATGCGATTCCGATGATGGCGACTGTTACATTGTTTGTTTTGTGCAATGTTTCGCCCAAGCCTGCGATATTTACACGTTGCACCCCAACAATAAAATCGTTTTTAATCGATGCATTTTTTGATCGTTAAATCTCAACTTGCAGCCGTTGAAGAGACCCGAGCTCGGAAGAAGTGGAAATACATCGCGCGCCTGCGACCGCTTCACATTGCGTGTTAATAACGTTGCGCAAATTTATGTACGAACCACATGAAGATGTCTTGTGCGCTCGCCCCCCAGGAGGCGGCCTGTGTGGTCGCCTACGACTCTATCGCATCGGCCTGCTGGCTCCGAATTAAAAACCACGAGTGCACACATCAGCCGATACCGGTTGCGTTTCGACACCACACGGCCTGCACGCTCGAATCGAATCAAATCAAAACGGCGAACGTTTTAATAACATTAAAACCGTCGAGCTTTTCAAGTTAAACAGCTTGGGAAAACATTTAAAACCGGCGTTCGGAATTTCAGCCGAAAATTTCGTGCAGAAAATATAACTTAATATAAAAACGTCAGCGACATGTTATTAAATTCGATTTTTATCTTTACGCGCGCTGAGGCGGAGCAAATTATAATTTATAATTAATTTAGATGTGCGGAGTGCGGCGATGTTGTTTGCGTAAAATTGGCGTCGAATTTTCTTGCTCTGCACTGTGCTGCGTTTGGTGAATAATCGTTAACGTCAACGCGGCGTGTAACAAATAAAACGTCGTTCGCACCCATCATCACCGGCTGCAGCATCCTCTAGTCCTGTAGTGTGTTTTATTTGTTTACGCGAGTCGAACGCCGAGTGACGCGCTGCGTCGGCTAACGAGCGTGTACTTGGCATGACTGACTTTGAGCAGAACACCCAATCATGAGCAATTGTTTTTCGACCGATTTATCTGTGATCTATTTATTTACCGTGTCATCTCACATCATCCGTCGACATAACCTCAATTTTATGTTGCAGTAACTTACCTCCCAAGCTCTATGCTGTACCTACACACATCATCAATACATCAATTTTGTAAAGTTCTCATATTAACAATCATTATTTATTCAAATTACACTTAGAGCTATCAAAAGAGATTAGATATTTACAGGGTGCACCCCAAATCACAATGATATTTTTATTTCTTAACATAACCTGATTTATCGACAGGTGATTTCGTCGTACTCATTCTCACACGTTTGACATACCACGTTGCAGCACCATTTGAATTCGCAATTGCAATTGACCGTCTCACGTCGTCGTACAGTCTGATAACCTCTTCCGCAGCACAAGATATCACAACCTTCTTCACCCAACGACGAAGCGTTACAACTTCTTCCCTTAGTACCTAATGATCCTAGAGTGAGATTCTCGGTGCAGTACTTGATGGATTCCTCCAAGTAAACCAGATCTTCCCTACCGGGTGGTTTGATGGTGTCACCTTCGGGTACAAAGCTATGTCCGTCATTGCCTGGGATTACTTTTGCAGCGCCGTCAAAATGTTCCTTTAATCTATCACCCACCTCGCGGAAGGCCGGCATTTTCTTCCAACAGGTTTTCATCGTACACGACCCGGATATACCATGACATTTGCACTGAGTTCGCATGTGACGTTTAATCGCCTAAACAGAAAATATAATGCAATGGCTTAGTTTATATGCTATGGTTTGGTTTTATTACCATTCGTCCGGCGGCATAATTATGCAGTTTGACTAATGTCTTAATGTCGTTTTTAACATGCTTGTATCTAGAATCCAGGAAATCTTTTGATCTGCGCACACCGTAGTTGATATTCTCGCCACATCCGTCCCAGCGAAAATCACCTTCCCTACCGTATTTCTTTTGACGTTTCCAGGTTGAATCGCAGGAACATTTGTGTTGCAACTCGCCTGTGGTGCAGGCTCGCGTCACGGTGTATGTCACTCCGGCAGCGATAAGCGCATTGACGAATGCTGTTTCTCTTGTGTCTGTAACAAATTACATAAAAATGACCTCTATATCTACCTAATAATATTTTGCTGATAAGGCTGAATAATCATATGAGGATGAGTAGGTAATGTAGTGTTCCCATGAGAAAGGCTGTGAAATTTCGCTAAAAGAACGCGAATTATTTCAACCAATTTAGGCTTTTTTTTCTGCCAGCGTTAATACATGGACAGTGCAAAAAATGACGCTGCCCAACGGGCTAAAAGCCGAAGAGAAATTTAAAATTTCCTCTTTTCATATTTTTTGCAGGCTCGACGAGCTAAACATTGTTGCGCTCATTATAAAATTCTTCATGCCGCCCGATGGGAAGTTTTTGATGAAACGATGATAGAGGCAATTGCCAAAAAATAAAACCCCAGCTCACTTCCATTCCACACGTGCCTACGCTTCAAACTTTTTTCTTTAATGGGAAGCATCACGAGTTAAAAAGACAAAACATAATAAAAGAATTAAACTCTATTCGCGTCGCCGCATTTAATTTCGAGATTTTTCACCAAATAGTGCTTATCTTAAGTGGCTGAAATTGATTAGGTTTATTATGCAACTGACTAGGTTCAATTTGATTTCAGCTTTAACAGAGTAGTTAAAACAGAAAAATATTAGGTATAAGGTCACATTTTTGACTATAGGTGAGTAATTTTTAGGTTTTCTGAGTTTCGAACACCGTCGGTATTAAATCGATGTCAGTTCCTGGCGCGGTGGGCTCCTTTGCTGCCGTTTCATTCCTTTGATATTTTATACCTGGATCTTCTTATCACCATGTCACATCTACAACAGTTAGCATCAACCAAAAGACTCCCTCGCACTCCTTCGAAAACCCACACCACACACACACACACAACCAGTCTATTAATTTACACCTTAAAGTTTATGATTTTATTACCAATTTTCGATTTTATTGATACACTAAAAGGGGTATTACGGGTTGATTTCGACCGCACTGCGGCTTTCGGACACATGCGAAACCACACAAAAAGCAAAACGCCACAAAAAGAAACTATAATACACAAAGCCGCGGGACAGAACCCACATAGGTAAGCAACCGATGAACTTGAACTTGACAGAGGCGCGCATGTTTTAATTTCGTTGCCCATCCGCCGAATAAAGATTTGCTTGCTGATGAGGATGTTTTTGTCTTCACCTGAATATTTAACTCTCAAACGATGAGTGTGCGCTCGCGCGCGCATGGTCATTTTGCTCGGGGATTGGATTTATCGTTTCCGAATGGCCTTTTAATGTCAATAATGTTGCATTACCCATCCCGGCCATCGCCGGAATTTATTGTGCCGATCGCTGCGCGCTTCATATTCGTGCGGCGGGCCAGCGCGTCCGTAATAAACATGTCCGACCTGTAGAAGGTAAATTAATGACGGGAAAAATCTTAATTAAGCACGAAAAACGCACGCACACACTTTCACCCATATCCGCTGTGGCCACAAATATGAGAATACATCTTTACACTCCCCATCGTAACCTATAAATAGCTTGCGGGCGCGAATTAAAATTCAATACTTGTAGAGGGTAACCAAATCTTAAAATGTTAACATTGAAATACTAACACTACAAAGAAACAAAAGTTTACATTACAGAAACGGTTGTAGGAATTTAAATTAATTACTAATATTCAAGGGTTAATTGTTTTGAAGATCATAGAAAAACATAATGAAAATTAAAATCAAAGAAAAGGGTTCTCATAAATATGCCACCGGTTTGACATTCGGAATGTGGTGTTTCGCATGAGCCATAAAATTATACCACACGACTCGCAACAACCAAAGGATGCGAACATTTTATAAGTTTTTGAAACAATGTTAAAAGTGGGTAATAGTCCTAGCATGCTGCGAGCGTGCCAAAAGTGCCAATGCGATGACGACTCGTCGAAGCTGCGATGAGACCGATCACAAATCATCGCCACGGCGATCTTTTGCGCACTCGTTGCAAAATTTCTCGAAATCAAAGTGGGAACAAGCGCGCGCAGTGGCAAAAGAAGGGTTGCCCACATTGAAATTTATGGAACAAAACAATGGAGTTATAAACATTTTACGAGTCCGGCGCGTCTCGGCAGCGACGACCGCGGGAGAAGAATGCGTTTTGTGCAAATAATTTTGTTATAATATCGTAATAAATTTAAGCTCGCTCACGCGGGGCCTCGGCCGCAAAAGAGGACAGGATTACTTGGTAGCGAAAAGAGCGCTCTGGTCTCGCGGCACCCAAGCATCTTCGACTTCTTGACGGCGTGTCAGCGGCCCGAACGTGTCCAGCGTTTGTTAAGTAAATTAACGTGCGCGCGTCGCGGTAACAAATGCCCGGGACCCCGAGTGCTCGCTCTTGAGAGAAGAGCACAGCCCTAATGACGATCGTATCTGTTAGTCAATGAGATAGATCCCCGTCGCGATACCTCCTACTGTGGTAATTGTCATTCAGCGTCACCTTCGTACGATAAATATCAACGAGCGAATAACTCAGCAGCGTCGCGGTTAAATCACATTTCCAATTACTACATAAAACTTACAAATGCACAAAGGGGGCATAGATAAACCCAACCCGAATTCAACCGCTGCACAAGCGCTGGCCGTTTATTTAATAAACGAATGCGCAAAACGAGTGGCATTCGAGCGGCGAGCGGCAATTCATTCCGGAGATAACGCCGATCGGGTCGAAGCGCGCGCGCGCTCGCGAATAATTCGCTTTGTGGACGCACGCATGACACTTATATCACATGCCGAACTATGCGCGCACCGAGGTACTACATATTGATGCGGAATTTATTAGATCAAAATCTCGATGATGCACGCACGGATCCCTTAATTTTTTATTTCATTTCGCTGCGCTTCTGCGGTCTTCGGTGGCCGGCCGCGCTTTTTTGTCTCTGTTTCGTCGGCCAAAGGACACACACATGGTGCTGTGCGCGACATTCCTTTTTCGTTGACTAATGCCACATCGGCGACGAGGAGAAAGAGCTCGTCGACCTAGCGCTATTAAACAAACTCCTAAGAATACTGGACCGCGTCGCGGATTCGTACCGGGATGCATGACCTTTGCACAAAAGCGCCGATTTTCATATCCGTGCACGTGCACATTAAATAACGCGCATACCGAATCAAATTTATTCAAATAACGTACGCGCTTACGGCCGCAACTTATCTTGTAAACTTATTTGAACAACACAGATCAAATCAAAACATAACCCTACATAAGTCACGCCTAACAAAAAGTGTTCACGTGGTGACAAAGTGTCTTACATTTTCCTCACTTACCATTCAAGACAACATTTTTGAGGCTCCTCTGCGTTGAAGTGCAATTCCACCTACGATGGCGAAACTGCCATTGACATTCCTCCTGGGCCAGCCGTACGCCATTTCCCACGTAAGCTTTGAGCAACGTATCCTGACACATCTCCTGCATCTTCTTACTCTGGCGCTTCTTCATACACATCACTTGCGGATCTAGCAACAACTGACTTCCGGCTGGCCTGCAACCAAAGCAAACGCATTTAATTAACGCCCAGCTTTGACCGCAAACGCTAAACGCTGAATGTTTAAACGATTCTCGGACAACAAGCGACGTTTAGACAATGCGATGCCTTGAGATGTTTTCGGTCAATATTTGGACGGGCCAAACAGCGCCATTGCGTGTGTGATTTTCTAAGTGTATATTCGTGTTCCGCCATGTTTGAGTGTTTGTCAAACATCACACGTCATTTGGTTTTTAATAACTTCCTCTCGCTTTTTTCACCTCCGTGAAATTCCTTTCTGACAATGGGAGGACAATGTAAACCGTAATAAGGGCGGTGTCTGTCTATTTCTATTAGACGGCTGATTATTTTTGAAATGTTTAGACAAGGTGTGAGAATTTTTTAACTTGCAATAAAAAAAATTATGTGAGTGGCTAAAAAAATCAACTTTTAGCTTATAAAGTGTAAAAAATAATACTTTGCGCACTAGTATGCCACAAATGTATATTTGTATCAAAAATTTAACAGAATCTCAAAAATTTTTGCATGATTAAACATTTATATCGTGCATTCTAAATCAGTATCCTTAATGAGGCCATTAACTAATCAAACGAGTCTCGCATTAAATGTTCGAATGTTATACAAACAAATTCGGTCTAAGATGCTACAATCCGTCCGCGTATCTGTTTATGCTTACTTCACACTTACTCTCGTACGCACATCGACGTTAAATGCATACACAAGCTAAGTCAAAATAAAATTATTTAACGCAAAATTCCACCCAACATATTCTTAATCATACCAAAACTAATCTAGACTAATTTAATAAACATTCCCACACATTTTTCGCGTCCAAATATTTATAAGTAAACGTGGCCGGAGAGATTTGGATAGTGTGAGCAAATTTGTTGAATATTGATTTAACCCCCAGTACACAACCCATCCACATCATCGCATCCAGTACAGTGTTTGGCAGGCGCACGCAGCCAAAACAAATAAACCTAACATTGACAGTTAATCAGCTCGCAGGAACTCAGCTATAACTTGCTCTATTAAGCGTACTTCGTAGGTACACTTGTTGTTTCGAGAAAACCCACTCCACACGGCTCGGCAATTTCGAAGCCTGCAGGATAATATTGTGATGTGCTGTCAGATCCGACCACGCAGCGAACGAGATTCGTTTTTTATATCATCGATTGTTTATTAGCGCTAAAGTTTGACGACGTGCGGATTGACAACTATTTTCGGAGATTGAGTTCGCAAAGATAAATAAGTAACCTAAAAATATTACATAAAATTCGTTATTTCACATTTTTCATATTTTACTCTATTCTACAAACAAAAACTAAATATTTTTGCAAATTTTTGTAAATCCTATATGAAAACTTAAATATTTTCACACTTGAATGTGACAATAATGTCATTTTCAAAGGTTAAATTGTTTAAGTTAGATTACATTAAATTATCAACTTGCTTTCTGAAAAACTTAAAATAGAAGCTCAAAACTATTGTTTTTGTTAAATTAGATTTCACTGTTTTGAGTTTACACTGTACTTACTCTCCAAACTAAATTTCAAATATATTAGGAATTTCTGGTGATTCCAATTTGTAAATTTAAAAATATTAACCCTGGAATATGCCGACACCGTGAGTTTCAAAAACAAGTAAAAATATGTTCGGTTAGATTTAATTAGGTTATGTTAAATTTCTATCTGCTTTCTCAATAACTTCACAAAAAGTCTTAAAACTTGTCATTGTAAAACTAGGAAGATAATGTCAATGAAGACGGTGAAAGAAAAAAAATTAACACGCGAGTGTGACTTAATAGTTGTAATACGAGTGTAACGCGGCGACGCCCGTCTACAATGAATTATATTGTTTGAACTGTAAATTGAAATAACTAATAAATGCATTTAGCGCACTAAATGGGCCGTAGATAATGTGCGCACATGGCACAGGCACAATGAGCACATTGCTTGTGAAAGAGCTTAAAAACCAACACCGCCGACATCTCAACTAAACCGAGCGAGGATTTAGCAACGCGATATATGCAAAGATTTAAAAAAAACTACAATGTACGAGCAAAAGCAAACAATTGCTCCGATATGCAAATATAAATATTGCAGGTGGTGTATCATCGACAAATATTTGCATTGTAACAAACATAAGTAAATTATTCCAGAACTAAAATTAATTAACAGTGTTTTTACGATCAGTGCGATTCAACCACACGTATATCTAGATAATGATCGATTAATTACAGTAATTCACTGCGGCAGAGGTTTACGCAATCGAAATCTACTTGTTACGAGTCGCTTACGCTTACATAAACGTCACGATTGTTAACGATCATAATAGGATTAATCGTTTCTCACATGTGGTAAGCAAGTTCCGGCTAATTTAAATCAATTACAAAAAAAATCTGATTCATTTCCTATGACAATAATATTTTTAGAATTTTATCGTATTCTTGATGTTTTGATCGATTGTAAATTAACATCCTAGAAAAATGTTCACTGCTAGATGCATATCATGTTTGTAAACTTGATAAGCAGGTCTTTTCCGTGAAACGCATAGTTTCCTAGTGTTTAAGAGCTTGATTATGAAGTTCACGTTGTGAGTGAAATATGCGGTTGATATTACTATTATTCGAGTAAATATCATAAATCATCAGCGTTTCCTTCCCAGCGAGTGTCTAACTACAACGGCGTACAAAGGTAACACACAGTTAAGTCGGAATAGAAAACTTGTTTCGGAAAAATATAAAAATTAATGAAAACGTGGTAATATTCAGCGTAAATAACAACAACATCATAAAAGTACTTACCTTGATGGATTATCATTGATTTAGTTATTTTTGTAATATTAATAGGTATTAAATATAAAAGAGTGCAGTGTGTAAATCCTATAAAGAAGCACCGCTGACTGGTAGTGAATGGCATTGTGCGCTTCTGGCTGGCATGGGAACCGTATTAATTAACTTTCAGTGAAATAACCTTAAAACTAAAAATCGCCGCTTCCTCGTCGGCCGTCAAGCATAGAAGAAAATGCGATTTAATTAGTCATAAACAGCTGCTAAACAGATTAATGAACGCAAACTCTTATAAATTGCTACCTTTTTGCATAAATATTAATCTCCGGTAAAAACCAAAATTTTAAGCTTTTCGTATGACCAAGAGGTTCCGAAGCCATGCACTGGTAGATGGCACACGCAACCACGAGGTCGCAATGCGACGATGGGTTTGTCACTTTGAGTAACGTGCAATTACTTACCACCAAGAGAATGTGATGGGGGTAATAAGCAGAAGGTAGACAGGCACGAGCACGGCGTGCATGTCCTCCGCGCGCGCACACTCACTGCACCCAGGCGAGCCCCATGACTCGAACTGGCCCACGACGGTTCGTTTCGGTCGGCCCAGGTCGGACGCATTTGCCAGCCAGCGCCGCGGGCCTCGCAGTCGTCGCGGTCGTCGTCGTCGGCGCGTGTGTGCGTGCGTGTGGATTTCGCGCCGCGCCGTCGAGCCGCTCTTCGCTCACCTGGATGCGCAGACATCATTACTACCAAGCGACTAAGCTTAACCTAAGATCAATTTTAGAAACTTCAACGAGATTATTAGGTGAAAATATTGACCCAATTATTAGTTCATTAATTACGCGACGCCGGATAAAGTTTCGCGCAATTTTCGGCGCGACGTAAATCAGTCCACGGTCTTAAACTTTATATCTGTCATCGCGTTCGCCGCGACTGTTTGATTTCGCTTTTGCACGCCTGTCCGGACGACAAGTCGATGCGAAACCGATATAAATCACATTGCGCAATCGTAGCTTGCTCTCGCGTTTCAATGATCAATCGAATGCAACACCGCGGTGCATTCAAATTTAGAAAGCGCATTCGAACCATAAGTAATTACCACGAATGTGCTAATATTGCACACGTAAATATAGCGCAGCAACAACAACCCTGGTACCGAATATATATTTAGATTAATTTTTTATTTGTGTGCGGTAAACAAGTTGTATTTAGCACTTCAATCAATGGGCTCATCATAAGCAAAATGGATGACATCTAACGAGATGCAGCGCTGCATCAGCAAACATTTTCACTGTCACATTATTATAATAAACTGTGCAAACAGCCGACGCATCCGACGCTTAACTGCGTACTCTCGTTTGCATAAATTATACACTCATATAAATTTGTTCGTACTAATTATAACTCGTAGCTGTCGAGGAAAATGTGTCACGACTATTCATTAACCTAATTAACAAATTTTAATCTTTTATAATCTAATATCAATTAAATTAAATTATTTGATTTGTTAAACAGGTGTTATCTATGCAAATAATAAATAAACCACGTAAATGTGTCCAGCAATAATAAATTGATGGTACCTAAATAAAATCATTTGCGTCAACTAAGATAATGTAAATAATTTGCAAGTTGTCGTGGCCGATGCGCACTTACTATCTCAAGTGTAGTGCGCTTCAACAAATTTTCATGACGCATCATTAAATAACTCTCGGCGTTCGTCCTTCCGCTGCCTTCAGGATGTCGCCGACGACGTGATGCCTTAACGTATTGCCGTCAGTTTCGAATGCGAGTGCGTCTTGTCGCGTGTCACTCAATCTGCATCTGCCTGCCGTCCACGGGTAGTGTCAGCCGGCGTCACCCAGAGGACAGCGTCTCGTCGATCCTAGCCTGACAAATTCGCAAATGCATACGCCGCAACGTATTCAAAACGTTGTCGATCAGTCGCAGGTAGAAAATTTCCATGCATCAATCCGCGGCGACGTTCGTCCAGCGCGCGATTTACAATCGTCGTTATCCCGACGCGTCGTATACGTAAGCGATGCGCAAAAGTAACGCATAAACAAGTAGTCTGCAGCCGGCCAGGATAATCTATCGACAACATCGGGTATACTATTGCGAACTAAGGCAGCCAACGATCCTGCGATGCGATTGATTTGTGCGACAAGCGCTAAAATGCGGATTTCGTCATCGCATGACGCACTTTGTTATTGAATTTGCAATTGCGTAGGTATTTACAAATTGTAAGTTGTCAACAATTTTAAATAATAGTTATATTTATCTATGTTGTTAAAATAAATAAATAAATAAGAATGTGTAGACTTTTTGCGATGGGCGTTCATTTGTGTAATTGCAATGGTGCTGTCGTCATCTCTAGTTGGTTTCATTGAAGATTTGTTGGCTGTTCTTTCGGTGCGTCGCTGCACGAAAGAGTAATTTATCGGCAGCACTAATTAGACTCATCTGGGTGATGTGCGCGCGGCGCGCGTCTTTAAATACTATCCGATCTCGCGACTCTCGCGGCTTTCGCACACTGCGCGCCCGACAGTCCGAAGACAAACAGCACAAACGCACAAAAAGCGAATAATAAACAATCAAATTTATGTGTACCGCTATGACAATGTAACAGTAAAGCGAAAGAAACGATCGGCAAGCGCTTTTCTTTTAAAACGTCTTAAAGCACGCTGAAACTTGGACGTTCTTCAAGCATTTTAGGCTCGAAAGAGTTACGTTCCTCGCGATCGCACACAGAGTCGGATCTGAGGAGTTTTCCGTGTGGCAAAAGGGTTGCTGCCGTAAACATTTAAGCCGCGCGGTGTGCTTCGGACTAAAATCTTCTCGGCCACTTGGAGAATTCGCTTTTACTCGACTGTGATGTGGCTTTTAACTTTTAACATCGCATCCATACCAACATTGCAATGCGCGCCCGGCGACGAATCGAGTAAACATCCAGCACTTACATTGTTCTTTAATTGTAATGAATTTTAATTAAGCCGCTCTTTTTGCCGAAGCTGGGTTGGAGGATGGCCGTTGTATGCAAAACGCAGAATCAATGGAATAATCCACGTCGAGGACAAGAAAACGGCGCGCATAACTCGTGCATGTCCTACATCTTCGTTTAGTTTCCTCTCGGCGCGCGTATGAGGTATTTTGCATGCGCGCCGCGGAAAGCGATTCATTCCGAGACTTCGGGGCGCACGTCAATTCGCCGCCCGCATTAAATCCTTCACCTCAACGGGCGGACGAGCAAAGTTCGCGTACGATGCGAAATACGCATCGATACCGCCGCTGCCGCTGCGCGCGGTCCGAATTAACCTTGGCAGGAAAATAAAATAGCCGCGCGACACAGCGCGAAGACAACGGCCGGACGAAGAAGAGACGACGAGTCCGTGCTGGCTGCAACAGGAGTTACAGCGGTGGCGTTTTACTTTTGCCATTTATGCGATTATACGTTCCGCGCGCGGTTATAACTTTTGTCTTCGGGTGTTTCCAATCGTGCGTTCCGGCTACTGTTAGCGAGCGATGTCGCGTCGCTCGCGCATCGTTTTTTCCTGCGCCGAGAATGCCCAACGTGCCTAACATTCGACGACGACGGCCGAGTGACAGCAAAATGCGACTGACTGTCCAGCAACGAACGACCCCGTCAGCCGTGGCTGGCGAGCGTCTTCGCGGTTTATTTAGATAAACGCAGCGCAGCAGACGCACTGTTAAGGAATTCACAATCATTGAATACTTCTTGTTCCCATGGCATGCGGGCCCGTGGTGTAACAATTGCGCGCCGAGCGCTATAAAGGCCCGAATTGACGCGGGAGCAAAAAATACGATATTTAAGGAATGCTTCCCGAGACCAAACTTACCTACATCCAATTATATCCAGATTTTACACGAAATTTTTTAGCACAACTCATAGATTTTCATAGAACAGAAAAATATTACGTTGTTGTTACATGATGTAAGATAGAGTTTATGTAGCATACAATCTTGATCTACCTTGATGTATCCCATTTTCATTATTGTCTTGTCAGTTAGCAGTAACTCGCATTCTTAATTCATTTCTAACCGCAGTTCACAATATCACAATATGTTTGTCGTCTAGCATAAACGGACATAAAGTTTGCGAGATATATTTAATGTGCTCATTGTATGCACTTTGATATTTTTCCCATTTTGCATTTTACGAGTAGGTACAGCGCACCAGCAAGTAAACGTATTGTAGATTTACGTTTTTCCAGCTTGCGAGAACACAACACGTAAATTCATAGACAACAAGTTAAAACATGTTTGGTTATGATTTATTTTTCGCTATCCTAATAAAATCAAAAATTTTATTTGATATCAGAAACAGTTATGGAATTTTGAAGTGTAATACAAGGTTGTGTGCGACGTTGGCACGAAAAATTTGCTTCCGGAACTTTTACGAAGATTCAACACACACCTTTCTAAAATTACCGAACAAATTCATTCATTGTTCCCTTTTTTTTTTAATTTTTAGACCTTGTTGTTCGATATTGTTCATTTCATTCATACTATCGTATTATACACTTATCAATGTTTCAATCTGCGAGAAATCAACTCGCTTAAGGGATCTTACACATCTTCCATCGCCGCTTTGTAGGTTTACAGATGTTTAAGAAGATTTCACAATTGAGTTATCACTGAATTGCGATATTGTTGCCATTTGCCGTTTAGACATTGTTGCAAACATCCCTTCAAGAGATCATAATCTCGCAATGAATGCGCTTAAACTGTCTCGGCTCTTTTTACCCTAAGTACATAGTTAATTCACGCTTGCCTACTTTCAGCTTTCAAATAATTTCCGTAGACTTTTGTAGTTTTCGGGATTTGAACGTTTTAACAGCGTTTTACTACCGAAAATAAAATAAAACATTTGTATATAGGTATAGCAATGTGGAGGGTTTATCTATTAGGGGTTGGAAATGTATGTTTGTACGAAGATTATCTATTGACCAACATAAGAAGTTCGTACTTACGGCTATTACTTACACATGAGATGAATTCAATACACATTCAAATACTTGTTGGACTTACCAGTTAAAGATTCTTCATTCAACGGACAAACACTTTAAATGGGTAAGTGAATAAGTGATTATTGATCCGGTTCTGTTAATCTCTGCATCGGCAGAGTGAGCTCATCGATATAAAATGATTAAATTTATAGAAAACGATAAATTCATCGGCTAATAAATTTAATTAAAAATTTATTTGGTGCTCAACGATGCAGAAGAGCGTCGCATAAAATACCCACTGCCGTCGACTTTAACATTTCTTCATCCTTTAGCATAAAAAACAATAACAGGAAAAAATTAATCCTATTAGATAATAATATCTGCATTAATCATGATTAAATAAATTTATTATTATTTATATTTATTCTTGTGATCGCTAATATAGGCCTCTTTTTATACAGCCAGTATAAAATCTCCGAGCTGCAAGTGTGCACGTCGAAAACATATTTATGTTGCTTTAAGTATCGAGCATGTGGAAATATTTAATCATAATGGAAAACAGGTTCGTTCCCCGGCCGGGCGCGTACGATTCGCGGGCAGGCACAATAAATTTTCGATTTTTTTCTTCCTCTTATCGTCGTCCAATACCTACTTCCACTTTCCAATGCGAATGTGCGCTTTCCATGCTCAGTCAGCCAATGGTTTATTATCATTAGTTTATTAGTGCGTTTTATGGTGATGATCGTTTTAATAACTGGTGCATTTAATGTTAATAAACGTATAATTAAAAGTTTTGCACCTAATGAAGCAATTATTTGCAAAATTATAAATTGATTATTAGCTGAAAATATGAATTATGATTAATAAGATCGGAATGTTTGTAAATATGTAAATTAATGCTTACAATGCAAGAAAAACAAATTCGAACTGTAAATATAAAAAAGGTACCTAAGGTCAAAGAAGGACGGTCCACGAATACCAAAGACTATTAGTTATAATTTGATGGTACGGTCACGACCCATTTGTTCCTTTTACGCGAACGTGTGAGCCCCATTGTACTAATTACCCTCTTGTGATCTTCCACAAAATTTACCTCACTTTAATATACAGAATGTTCCCAGAAATAATTGGCGTGCCAAAAAATTTAAATATTTTATACTTAGCTAATAATTAGCCAGAATGTTGAGTCAGGAAATTTCTCAGCACAAACTCCCAATGGCGAAATCGATCAGTCACGGTGCAAACATTCCTTCCGCGGACACTGATTAAATCCAACAGCTCCACCGGAGATCAATACATCCGATCATGAGCATGGATGACTACGAAAACATCATCATTCTGCGCCGATCGCATTCAATTAGCATCAATTTGCGTTTCGTCATTTTTAATGCGCGAGTCATTGTGCTGCGCAAATTTGTGCTGTGTGTGTGTGAGTGGAAATATTTGACTTACACCTTGGTATTAAAGGTGCCCGTATGAATTATTGTGAGAAGAGACACGTCGAGTGCAAGAGGGGTCGGACGTCGGGCCGGCTTTGGGTCGGTTTATTTCTGGTAGCTGAATTTACTGAATTACTAGCGAAAGGTAGGTAATGGGCAGGTCAGTGATAATAATGAAGCCATCAAAACTGGCCTGTAATCATTAACTTGTAGCTGTTTGCCGACCGGACTTCTTCCTCACGCCGCCACGGTGCCACGGACCACCACTCCTGGGTGGGTTTCATATTCAATATACAAACCGAGTAACGAAAATTATATTCATATTATTTGGACCATGTTACAACCACGTGTTATTGGCCAAAAAGCGTAAATAATTTAATAATCAAATTAATTTTTAAATAATACTTTAAAATATCATCACAATACATAGGTACATCAATGTGCTAAAAATATTTCCTGTTTAATTATTTAACATCTGTCAATTGAATTATCGTAAATTGATTATTTAAAATGTTTGCTGTGCTAAAACACTCTGTATAGATATTTTGGTTAATTTCAAAAACTAATGGGCATCTGTGAGTTGGAGTGCGAGATTATTATTTTCCTTTATTTACTCATTAACTTGTAATTATTTTTAATGCACTAATTGAGCGTACGTGCAGGAATGCGTTTAATAACCAACATTGAAAATCGTATTGCCCACTCAAGGTCCCCAATTCTCTCGATTTAATTTAAAAAACACGCGTGTGTCTTCTCCGAACCGCTTGGTTTCTTAAATAATTTGCGTATAACCTCATGACAAACATTGCCGTCCAAAGTGTTATAATAACAATGCTGAGGCGGCGTCTTCTTCGCCTTCGCGGCCGGTGTGTAGAGATCACGAGCGATTACTTTTCCTAGGTGTTCCGAAGAGGCGTTACCTTCAGCTTTCGCTTCACTCTTCGGGGCAATTTTCGAATGAAGACCTCACACATTGCGCCGAAACGAACCGAAAATTTACAGCAACGCCGAAAACAACGCACATGCAATAATAACTTTATGTAAGTGGTAGTTATTTACATACTGTGATCAAATTCGTAATTTTTGATGGTGTGGGCGACGGCGGTGTAGTGTTTATGTGTTTGTTGTGCATTTTTAATGCATTAGGCACGAGGTTTGAGTTTTCCCATAAAATTCGCCCGACCGGCACGTCACACGCACCGCCATTTCAATCTTGACTGCAATTACAATATAACAAAGTATAATTGAACGGTTCGTTTGCGCTGGTTTGCAGTGCGTCGGTGGCGTTCTGCGGTGGACATGGTGTGAGGCAATAAACGTGTGTGATGAACGGACGTATCACCGCATTACACGGAACGCCGCAATCGGGCTTGAATAATGAGAAATTTGAAATTTATGCAAAGGGAAAAGAACAACTTAAATGTAAACATATTGTTTAGCTGCAAACATAATACTGCATATAACTCAATTGCAGAGCAAAAATTACTACAATTCCTGACTGATTAAGAAATACCAATTCGAACCAATGTTTTGCAGGATATGCAAAGCTGTACCAGTCGAAGTTAGTTTGTTTTGTTGCATGTAGGTGGCGCACATGATCTGACATGAACTGACAATGAAATATTTAGCTAACAATTCATTACCAATAACAAGATTAAAGCAGATCGCAGCAACGTCTTAGTTAAAATTTATTAAGATGACTGGTTCACTTTGCGGCATAGGAACAAATTGGAAAAGCGAACATAATAATTATATTCAGAAGATGCACAATAAGGCAAGTTTAGCTATGCCTAATAATATTAAGAAGAAACTATGCACTCGACGTTTCTCACGGCCAGGACTCTCGCAGTCGAGCATATTTATGATTGGACCATCCACGTCCGCATCGATAAAAGCTTTTCTCCGGAATGCGTTCTACATATATACTTGCTGCTTGCGCAGCGATCACAAAGGTGACGAGCGAAAATGCGCGCATCGGGCGCGTCGATAATGCGATGTCTCAATATCCGTCGTCCATTAGTATTTCCACTCGTCTACGCTCATCTCTTTGACGCGCCATTGTGCTGCGACCGCGCGATAAGTCTAATTCGAGTGCGACTTTTACGGGCGAGTCGACGAGAGCGCTATATGGTTCTCGGAATCGTTGCGATTTTGTTTTATAATTACCTGGGAAAGTTGACGCCTTCTGCCTCTCAATGATCGTGCGCGGTGCGCAACAAGAAGAAGACATTGACATTGATGATGGATGGCATTGATGGAATTAGTTATCTTTTGTCAGATCTTTTTCCATCATAATTCCATCACAACATTCACAACAATACGTTTTACTTTTTCGACTTTCAACCACAAGTGCATACAAGTGCATAGTTTCCACCTCTTTCCATTATTTATCGCTACTTAATTTTTCACAATTATTTATTGACAGGTTAATAATGCACCAAGCACTTGGGAAAATTGTCATTGTAACTTTGTTACTTGTGAATTGTTAACCTTCATTTTCTAGTAATACAGGGTCGTAAAAAATAAAATAAAATAATCCACACAATCATAACCTAAAAATTGACGAAACCTGAAATTTTATCAAATCTCAATTTTTTCTAGCTATACTATAAAAACTTATTACAAATATAAAAAAATAATATACTCTATATAAGTTTGAATTATGTCAGAGTTTACTTGTTATTGATTCCACCTGTTGTTGTCAGACACGCACGAATATTTATTTTATTATACAGGACACTCCGTTCCCATATACATGCGGCTTCATTGTCCTGCGCGTGCATACTGATTACCACCCACGCATCCACAATACCCGCACATACAGTAGAATTAATTACGATGTGAGCGCGCGCACTATGCTGAATGTACACAAAAAAATATACCGCAATGTACACACACGGGTTGCATTCGCACGTTGGCGGCTGGTCAGTCATGACCGCGGCAAGGACGAGAATCCTTTTTGTTGGACGCAGAAACATACACGATGGAGTTGCAGACATGCGATAACAACGGCGTGAACACGATCAACACTTCAACTACAAACTGGTATTCTTATTATTTTCTTACTTGTAATATGTCATAATTAATATTCTATAGTGGTGCACTAAGTTTCATTTACTTTATGACACGCTTTGTGAGTATAGATTAATGTCGCAATGCAGAAACACTTCCGACAATATCCGGTTGTTATTTTCTAATTTTCTAGCGCATTACTAACGCACGCTTAATTTTCAAATAAAATATAGAAAACAAATGAAAATGATATATCGAAACAAACAGAGTTGTTACATGTTAGTAATTCACGGATCACAGTACTTGATAGCTAATTTTAGTTAATCGATAAATCGTTAATTATAATCTCAATCGTAATTACTGAAGTGATTGTGGTATTTTCAAGCCAATAATAAACAAATTGCTTGTTTTTAACATGTTTATTTAGTCATAAGCTTGTGCGCAAGTAGTGTATTTGTTCAATTGAATATAATTGAATTAACGATACCAGCAGTCCAAAGTAGTATCAATGGGGTCCGTTAGTTGATACAACAGTAGCTTGATTCACAACGTCAGTAGTTTGTGGCTGCTGTCTGCAGTGACAGTGACAATGTCGACCGTGGAATGATTTTGTGCGAATCCGCGTGATTTACACGTGATTTTATGCGTCAATTATCAATTGCGCGAGGATAACGAGAATAAAGAATACCAGTGTTTGACAAATCCGTTAGTCGAGTGTCCTTGAATGTAATTGTGCTAAACTTTACCTCAGGGCGTTATCGATAAATCAGCTAGGGTTTAAATCATGTGTAAGTAAGAGGAAACATTAACAATATAATTATTATTCATTAAATTATCAACTACAATCAAAAATAATTATTTATCATTATGTTAATCATTGATTTATTTCTTAGAGTTATTCATAGAACAGAGCCGGATTTTTATTGTAGGCAACCAAACGTACCGGGCGCATATTCAATTTGCGATTTTAATAAGTATAAATATTGAGTAAATACCGCGCTGTACCTTGGAAGTTTGTTATGTGATATATGTGAACTCAATGATAACCAAATCAGTACACAATACAGATAAATCCGAGCATAGCTACGTTTTCGACTTACCAGAAAGTCAAGTAAAACTAAACCGTCCAACATAAAACGTATCTGAACTAAGATAAGAAAGTGCGCCGAGGAATTTCCGTAATTAAAAGTACAGGAATCAATACCTACAAGCACACAGTTCTCTTATCAGTTGTTTGACATGTGTGTACTTTCGCCGCTTTAAACATGTGCATAGATTCCTCAATGAGTTGGCTATAGTTCAATGTGACACGACGGAGGTACCTACAGTTTAGTAACTTGTGAATCATTCAACGCGTTGTGTGAAGTAATTTGTAAGTCACCCAAAGTCACAATAATCATAAAATATATCATAAAGTTGAATAAGCGTATATTGATTAGTTGTATATTGGTTTCCATTTCAATACGTGTCAGGTTAAACCGTTTTTTGGAATAGTCTCAAGGTCGCAGTGATAATAAGCGACAACTGTTTGTTATGAATTTGCGTGCATGTGGGTAACATATTCGTGTCACAGTTAAAACACATTAAAATTCATGAAGTATACGATTTGTTGCACGCGATATTTGCTTCCTCGAAATACATGCAGCGTATTTAGACATGATAAATAATTAATTGTTTTGTTTCTGTTTTGTTTAGATATTGGGCCATTTGAAAAAAGATGAGCGTGCGTCTTTGTAGATCAACTAGTTATCAGTTCCAACAAGTGCCAGAAAATAAAACAAATTGCACAACTACAGATGGTAATGATAAAGTAAAAACATGTCAGGACTTGTTCAGCGCAATGTCCATCTCGGATGTTTTCCAACGTCTGCCAAGTTCCACACAGTCCGTCCTGAAGCGATCCACAGTCAGCTTTATTCTCATTTGTGGATTCCTTTTGTTACTTTATGGGGGACCACCATGTCTAGTAATAATCACACTGCTGGCGCAGATTCAATGTTGGAAGGAAGTCACCGTCATTGCTCTCAAACAACAGGCAATTACAGGACGTCATAACACCAACTATTTCTTCCTCTGCGCCTTGTTGTACTTCTGGTGTGATAATCTTTTTATCTACTATCACCCGTATGTCACCACAAGCATCCTGGCGCAATTTGTTGAAAGCTACTACAAATTTATCTGTTTTTGTTTGTATTTTGTTGGAGTCATATGGTTTGTGATGAATTTACAACGCAAACATTATCGGAAGCAGTTTGGTTTATTGGCTTGGACACATGTAATGGCTTTGGTAATAGTAGCGCCATCGTGTTTGATAACAAAAACAATCTATCAAGGCATGATTTGGTTCATCATATGTGTCACTACAATCACCAGTAATGATATAATGGCGTATATTTGTGGAAAACTTTTTGGAAAAACTCCGTTGATAGCAGTTTCGCCAAAAAAGACCTGGGAAGGTTTTATTGGTGCGGGGATATTCACAATCATCATTAGTTGTGCAGTTAGTTATTCTCTATTGGACAAAGAGTACTACATTTGTCCCGTGGAGTATGAAGAAGTTAAAGGGGAAATTGTGCGAGTTGAGCATTGCGTGCCCGATACGATTTTCCAACTTTCCGTGTACCACTTTTTTGAATACCCTATTGAACTGTATCCAATTGTTGTGCACACGTTTTGGTTGTCAATCTTTGGAAGTGTAATTGCACCCTTTGGTGGTTTCTTCGCTTCGGGCTTCAAGCGCGCGTGCAATATCAAGGACTTTGGTGCGTCGATTCCAGGCCATGGTGGTGTTATGGATCGATTCGACTGTCAACTAGTAATGATTGTATTTCTACACGTGTACATTAGCACATTTGTGAGTCGACCACAGGACGAGAGAAACATAACACAAAAACTATTTCAAAGGATAATGAACATGACAACCGCTCAACAAGTAGAAATGTATTATTTATTAGAAAATAATATTACAGTTTGAAAGTGTGATAAATAGTTTTCCGTGGACGCTAAAAAAGTGTGTCTTATGTGATAAGATTATATTTTAGAACCAGTATTTCCTTATGCTAATAGTTGTTGACTTTTTGAATTGTGATACTTAATTAAATGACAGAACGATACTTGTTTAATCGACTTGTTTCTTCAATAAAGGAATAATACATTTGTAGTTGGTACAGAATTAAGCGCATGCTAAATGTTAGATGATGCTCGTTTACGGCGGCAATTAAGCGAGCAAATTACCATGTAAACTACGTTCACTTGAATAATATGCTAATAACAATTCAAAGCTGCTAAAAATTACTGCCTATCACAACGCAATTTACGTAATGTGCATGATTTTAAACTTTCGTCGAACAGAAAAAAACCCGCACTGAAAAAGGGACGGTGGTTAATTAATATGCAGCAATAATTGAAGAGTACGCGCCTGTGTTCTGATTGCTCATTGACTCTGATTGCCGTTTACCATATTTAATGCGCGTTGCGCACGGGCTGCAGACGCGATTTAATGCAAATCTGATTGGTCGTGTCGTGTTGGTGCATGGGTAATGTCTTCTCACTCACAACGACTGGATAGACAGGATCAAAGCAATTATTAACGCAACCAGTTTTCCACATACCCCTTGAAATGGTATTTGTATTGGTATTGATTGACTGAGTGACCACACGCAAATTGAAATAATTAATAGACGCACGTGTGGCGTAAATAAAGTCACAAAATGGCGGCGATGGGACGAAGTGACAATCGAGGTGTTAATTTCTTCCGAAATGCATTCCAGACGTGTGTGCACGCGTGTTTTGTATACGCGGTGTGAGTGCGCATGGACGACATCACTCATCGGCGCGTATTTGTATTGTCGATGATTTAATGCACCATTCAATGCATAAACAGTTGAAAGACGATAAATTTCGCTGTCGCCACGTAGAAAAGCGCGGTCGCAGCGTGCACAAAAACCAATAAACCGTCTTTTCCGCCCGTCGACGTGCCAAAGAAATAAATAATGAAGTGTACGCGCATTTTTTTCGAAAAACTCGCACAAGAAAAACCTGTGGACACACGGCTACCGCGTGTATCTAATGGCAGTGTTTTTTTACGTACACGTCGGTGTCAAGTGGCTGCATTCGACATAGGTAATCTGCCTTCCGAAAGTTTTTCTTTTTGTTGGTCATTTATCATTTGACTGCGTACGCTGCAATTGCTCGGCCGGCTCTTCATCAATTTGTCGTTAGTGCACCCGCTTTTTAATGCATCCCGACTCGTGTTTGCTGAGAGGCGAGTTAATAAATTAAAATGTTATGATTATTGCGACCAGTCCGAAATAATCGACACCGTAACCTCTATTATGCACTCGAGTGTCGTTTGTTTTTTATTGCCAACATTCATGGGCTATTAAAGTGAAGACGGTGCTTGCCTTCGGCTCTCGCGAAAATATTAAAACATCAGCAAGTCACTCAACGAGTCATCAGCATTTAGGATATGCTAGTCCTGATTTGATTCAATTGCCAGCGCAGATTGCAAACGGAATTAAGTAATAATGAGAAGCAGCAACACTCTAAACCATCATCAATCATCCAACGCCGCAATTTTCGCACTCTACGCTGTTGATTGCGCACGGAATGACACAACTCGCACTCACTGATTTTGTAGTCGTTAATGTTTCTGTCATCAAGTGTGATTGTAGGTAACTAAGATTTTGCAACATAAGCATAATAAAACTTATAAAAATGGCAAGCGACTTGGAAACGAATGAAAGTGTTTTATTCCCCTCAACGTGGACGAATCGTGGCGAAGGAAAGTGCTGGCGAGGTGTGAACGGACATAAAGCGAACGGAGGCGCACACCTCCGGCAAAAAAGGATGAAATAAAATGAGTGCGCGGCCGGAGGAACCGAGAAAGGCAAATATCACACCACATACCTAATGTTAAAATCAGATTATGGACGGCCGAGCAAGGCCGGAGTGGCGTGGCCGGTATAATAGGTGGTCTCTTCATTGAGTCATTAGACCGTTGCGAAATTCAACAGCGCACCTCTAATGATAAGGTATTGTGTGCGGTCTCTCCTCCTTCGTGCCTTCTGCTTGACCAGCGGACGACCGTAACTAACATGGCGCAAATTTTTGAATAAATCTGCGGAAATCAATGCGAACAAATTGCAGTTGTACTCGCAATGGATAATTTTTAATCTGAAAAGTAGAAGATCGTTTGATGTTGAAAATGTTTTGTGTTTTGTCTTCCCCCTATGATGCACAGCGTAATGCCGTCATGCACGACACATCGGAAAAGAGATAATAGCACAAGGATGGATTAGGCAGCTTTGATGCGCTAGTGGCTGCGTGATGAACGAATCTCAATTTAATCACCATTCACCACAAACCGCCAATTACATTTATGTCTCTCTTTGCATACGCACGGCAGCGCGCGCACAGTGCTCTACTATCGTTTTGATAGCTAATGGGCGCGATGCTGGCAGCAACAGCAGCAGCAAGCAGATCAGAGAGGAGTTCTCTCGGCGCTTGTGTGCCCACACAAACAACCCCTCCAAACAGCAGCGGGCTGCGACGGGCGCATTCAATACGCGATATCTAGCCGATGAAGTGAAGTTTAGTTTATGCGTGCACTCGACGCTGTCATTACTTTGAGCACTCGTAGGCGTATACGCGTATGTGCGTGGAGCCGCATCGGTTTGTTGCGTTTGTGCGTTACTCGTTACACAAATCACTTCCTGAAGGCGCTCTCGCCGCGCTGTTCATCTCCTACTCAGCTAAGTCAAATACCGAACAACGTCCGAGAAGCGTCTGTCCGAAGTTTGCGCACAAGGCGCAGAGCGCGCGCACTGCAAAAGTTGCGCGCCAGCGAAACAAAGTTTTGAAAAAGTTTGCGCTCCGCCGCCGCGACGTGCGCGCCGCGTTTTGTTGTTGGTTGTTCTTCTTCGCGCGTCCGTGATGGTGATGGTGTGTGCGCACGCGTCGAGAGTCAACAAATACGGATCCACCGGCTGCGGGTGCTCCGGCGAGTCCGGTCCGGCGGGACTTTTCTTTTGATCCTGTTTTCTGTGTCATTTTTCACATCGCCGCCGGGGAACATTATCTCTCCATCTGCGCCAAACTCTAATCAAACAGTGCGCCAAACTAAACTTAATTAACCACAGTGCTTAAATCACCAAGGATATAAATTATGTGTGCCCCAAAATATTGAAATTTAAGTACAAAAATCATCAGCGCTGTGCCATGAAAGATGATCAGAATTGTACTGGTCGCAAGTGTTCTTCTTGTTTATTTAAATCTACGGTAAGTCAACGATCTAGTCAACTCTGATCCTTGAAATAAATAATTTCCTCATTGTTAATCGCTTAATATCAATAAAAGTGCTCGTAAAACATCTTTGAATCTTCTTCGCACACGATTAGACGTCGATTACGTTTAAATTCCGAATAAATATTCATGCATTCGGCGCTCCGGAGGAATAGACGCATAAACTCGGTTCTGAAATCACTTTTGCGCCTTCACTTCGCGCACGAAATCAAATTATTTAAATTGAGTTTGGTGATCGAAGTTTTTTTTTGGCAAACCATAGCCACGTGCCGAGTGTGAATCGTCTTGCAAATCGATGCATAACATCAACTTACCTAGCACCATAAAGTGAATATCAATGTTGACTACGAGCGCATCAATTCAAATTGTTCGAGAAGCAATTCGCGTTGTTCTTTGTTTGGTGCTCGGTTATAATAGCATAGCACTTAAATTCCGCCACAAATTGAAATGTGATAGATTTACATTTGATGGCGATTCGAGGTTTTGTTTTTAATTAATGACCGAATATAAATTACAACGACCTGTAAACAAAAACAAAAAAAAAACTAAATTGACAGTTGATACGAAGATTTGCGTGTGCAAGGACATGTGAAGCACACTACGGTCATGTTCCCAAAAATTCCACGCATTTTTGACATTATACACACTTGATTCAGCTACTCAACGGCGAATTAAGCGTCGATTTTGTTCGAATTAAATATTTGAGAAATATTTGCCGTTTAAATTGGTGCGCTTTACATTTTTTATGTTGATTTGAACGGAGCCCGTTGTAATTTATGTGATTCTGGTTCGATCGTGTGAAAATCCTTGTTTGGAATTGGAATTTTCGAATATTTAATGCTACTAAATAATTATTAATTAATTTGACGAATAATTATCTTTATTTATTTTATAATATTAATACTACCAATTTTTTATTATATTTTGGGTTTAAAGAAGTATGTCTGAGAAATGTCTTAATACATCATTGTTATAAATCGGAGTTATGCAGACGTTACAAGATTTTCGATTAATTTTCAGATCGGATTTGTAAATTTATCTGGCATCAGGTTGATTTCGTTTCTAATATATCGTGCTTGCATTCTCCGCTTGATGAATTTTTGTGAGAAAGCCCCAGTGGTATGCATTATCGCTCGAAATCTTGACGTATTTCTCCACTCAAGTAGCACTTTCGTCCGAGCCATTGGCTGCTTATTTTTCCATCACAAAAGTCAACATGAGCAACTGAGCATAATTTATTTGAGACATTGACCAACTTGTCGAAATGCCAGCCGCCGCGGAAAGCGGTGAAGATACTCACCGGGGCGATTATGTAATTAGTGAAACAACTAATAAGATGCAGCCGAGGAGTGTCCGGCGACCAATAGAAACTCTTCACAAAAAAGAAGTTTGTTCCGGCACTAAAATTTACTTTTTCGATACTTATATTGATGTTAAACGGTGATAATCGCCTGAAAAATATTTTCCCACACATTATTTAATTAATATATATTGACATTTTAAGGAATGTATTACTTATTTATATTAAAAAATTGGTTTATTTCAGTGTCCTGGCTAAACTCTCCAGCTATAGTTCGACATATAGCCAACAAATGGCGATTCTGCAATCTACCCTACCAATGCCACCGAAGGACTCAACCATATGTCGAACAATTCCAGGCTTGACAAAAAATCAGATTTTACTGTGCAATCGTCAACCGGACGTGACGATGGTAGCGCTGCAGGGGTTGCAGGATGCTCTCAGCGAGTGTGAGCATCAGTTTCAAGGCAACCGCTGGAACTGCTCTAGTCTCGCACACAAACAAAACATCTATGCCAGTTCGCTACTGCAGAAAGGTAACGCAATTATAGATATTACACCCATACAGCTAGTATGTCATTACAAATGTTACGATTGTCGCCTGTCGATTGTCGCAGCAAGCGAGCCCAATAAGTAGCAATATATTTGCAAACAATGAAGAAAGAAACGCTGTCATCCAGGTGTCAACGCTGTAGGTAACCGAAACCGATACGATCGGCACGAGTACAATGCCGTCGATGACAGCTCCATTTTCCCTCTCGGCTTGTTGTCCCGTCCTTTCATAATCGCTCATGCCAGCCGAATGAGGTTCTCGCATTATGGACGTTATAGAGACGTTTAGGAGTGCCGGGCCGGTGGTGCGCACAGCAAAAGACGTCGGCCAACACCTCACGGCGAACGAGCAAGAAGCGCAAACCCTATTGTACCTACCACCCTTTTTCAAATACAGCGTAACTAATAAGACTAGTTTGTTTCCTTCGAAGCTCACAAAAAGCGCGTACAAAGCGCAGCCAAGTGCCACGGTGGCGGTAGCTCTACCACGAATCGCGTTAGCCGTAACTGAAAAACACTGAGCCGTGAGCCGGAACGAAATTTTTTCCAGAGATTTAATAAAGATTTATATTATTATTTTCTTGTACTTATTTACGGTATTCAGCTAATATTTTGAACAATACATTTTATGTATAACAAAGTTTAAAGGTATATATATAAATATAATATATAAAATACTTTACTTTAAAACAAATGTTAGACCGAATTTACAGTATTTAAAAAAAATTAAGTACATATGGGGACATCTACCGGGTAATATTCAAATCTAAGCTTACGCTCCTTCAATTTTATTTCGGGTCTTTTGCTTGAGTTGCAAACGTTTTAACTGAAACATTGAAACTGAATATTAAAACTTTATTATCAACAAAATATGTTGGTATGTATTTACATATCTTTACTTTTGAAATTCAAATAACAGTTATCTTTCAAGCATTCCTAAAACAATGCAATCTTTAAAAACCTCCAGGAATCAATGGTTTAGTAATAATTTGAAATTATTAAATTATTAATTTCCAATATTTCGCCAATGTTATATATTTTTTAAATATTTCAGTTTTGTAGAAAAGAGATTCATGAATTTTATTCCAAAAACATTGAATTAACCACAAAAAAAACTAAGCAATAAACCATGCTAAAATCAAACTTCAAAGTTCAGTTTTGTTTTTGGTTTTCGTGTTTATCTTTATCCCGTTTTTTCTATATTAGGAATAATTTCTCACATTATTTATATATGTCAAATATACAAGTTACAACTTCAGAGATTTCAATGAGCAAGCATTTTTTGTTGATTTGCAAAATTTTGATATTTTGAAATATAGTGTGCACTTACATCTATTAGCGATAGGCCGAAACTGCGTCTCAGCTGAATACCAAACACACTTCGAAATCATTTGTTTCAACTCGTTTTAAACACTTTGTATGCAATATTTTCATAATTTAAGATTTTATAATTTTAACGAAGTGTAATAAGTTGAATTTACCAACTAAGCACTAATTTGACATCATAATTGGATTCACATCTCTTTAACTCCGTACCCCTTAATGAATATTATAATTCTCCTCGCATATAAACGCTATCACAGAAGGTATTTCTTCTATCATGCATCAGTAGCTCGCGCTGGTAGCAAATGGCAAACGCACGCTCGCTATTAATAAGACGCACGGTGCCATTAAATAAATAACCGCATGCAAATGTGTGCAGATAGAATATTGTAAACGCGCGTAGTTTGTTTGGAATTTATTGCGCATATAAATATATTAGCAAATTGTGGTGTCAGTTAGTGCGGCCGAGCATATATGATAGTTTATTGCCGCGAGCGACTTTGGCAATCGAGCGAGCTTGATTTTATTCTTTTCCAGCGCGTTTTCCAGCGGTTATTTGTAAATTAAAGCGTGAAAACCAAGAACGCCGCATTAAATCGTCGAAGGTTGGTTTCGGCGCGCCGCGCTGATGGCTGCAGGAATTATTAACTGTCAATGTTGTATTTTCACAATGCGCTCGCGAGCACATTTAATAAAGCGCGCATTAAACGGCTTTGATTATGGCGAGTGATTTGCGATTGACGCTCACAAACACCTGTTCGACGAGACTCATGCCAGAGAGGAAATCGCTAATTACACCAGAAATGCCACAAACGGCTCTACACCTTGATATTTCCATCTTAATAAAAGCCATAAATCAGAAATCAGAATTGCAATAAATCTGTGCGAGCGCACACGCGTAGATAAACAAAGACATTGATTAATACTCTACTTTTTGTCAGCAAGACAAACGAAGAAAAACACAATTCACGTTTCTCGTGTAGTTACTCGCGTACTTAATATTTTTACATTCTATTCTAGTTTTTGTTTTGTGACCGAAGACGTAAAAACATTTATGTAGTTGGCTGTTTTTCAACGGCATAAAAGTGTGTAAATGCCACACGATCGCATTAAAGATTATCCATTATGCTCATGTGCTTTGCGCGAGAGAAAAACTATGTTTGCGACGACGGAACCGATGCATCTCAAGCAAAACAGATGATTCGGGCTGCGTGCCTGGAATTATTAAAAACAAATCCGACTCTTCCCACCGCAGCGAGCAAACTGCGCAACGAAACAAAAAAGTCGCTTGTGGAAAATCACCCGACAAAGAAGCACTTTTGATTTGATGTTATAAGTACATTTATGTACTGAATGAATGAATTGCAATGAATGAAATAATACTCGAATCAATTGAGCTATATTTTAATGTCAGTTACTCAATAAATAAATTATAACTTGAACTGCGCCATTTCTAAGAAATATAGGACAATTACACCTGTACCTGATAGGTTTGCAATTAAAATGTTATTAATATAATCGTATGAATCGTGCTGGTGCAAACTAATTTGAAAAAATATTTTTCTTCATATGCTTCTGTACTTATATTACTTGTTTTTCTTCTGAGTTTAAGAGTGATTCGTGCGAATTTAAGTTTTTTTTTTAACTTCAAGCTTCTCATATTTTGTCGGATTCGTAGAAAACTCCCAACTTCCGCGCTACTAAAGTTTTTTGTTTTATTTCTACTTAGCAAAACCCGGTTTCTGGTTAAATTTCGCTTGAACTGAACGTCGATGATGATCCTCGACAGACAGAAATAGTCGTTCGCGCACCGCACAAGACGCGGCGCAATAATCGCGGTCGCGCACGATTTTTAAAATTATAATTAAACTTTTAAATATGTAACCTGTGCGCATAAAAAGCGAAAACGCGAACGCTGCCTCACTTAACAATTTACCTGCATGTGCGGCGCGGCGTGCATTTGATAAGAAGCGCAGCGTTCGCTTCGAATCAGAATTAAAACTTGGCCAGCAGTAGTTAAAAATGCCATTTACGTAGCACGCACTTCTGCACTCCTGCGACGCAGGGACAATTAGATAATCAGTGCCGGTGGTCGGCGTTTTTCCATCGCGGAACGTAAACTGCGAATCTCTAACTAAAGTGCTCCTAATATGTAACCGATTTCGTTTCTTTTCGCGTATTGCATCTCGACAGTGGCATCGGTAATATCGGCAGTATTGGCAATGATCGTGACTTCTTCGGATTACCATTTCAATTGAGGCTGAGAATTAAAGTTTTATCTATTAGCGCACGGATACAACTAATGATGCACTTTTTCTTTGTTTTGTATGGAGTTGTTTATTGAATTTGCATTGCTTTAATTTGAGGTTATACACGTTTCCTATGCTTGATTTGCAGGTTATAGAGAAACGGCGTTTACGTACGCACTGTCTGCGGCCGGCGCAACAATTGCGGTAGCGCGCGCTTGCAGCCAAGGAAGACTAATTAACTGCGCTTGTGATCATCGCAACTATCGGATGAAGATCTCATCGGAGGCGCCATGGAAATGGGGCGGTTGTTCGCACAATCTTCAATTTGGTATTAAATTTACTAAAGCATTGTTGGACAATCGTGACAATGCGTCAGATCTTCAATCGAGGGTGAATTCGCATAACAATCAAGTTGGAAGAGTGGTAAGTAATTAAATTTTACATAAAGCAACCCACAAACAACCTTATTTCTCTTGCATTTTTTGTATTTTTTGAACCGCTGTTTGATGTTTTTCACTGTTTGTCTTCGTTCTCGTTTGCATTTGTATTCTTCGGGTGTCTGACGCGTATTTTCCATTGAAAATGAAAACTAGCAATAAACCGACTGGAGAATCAGCAGTAAAACACACACAATATGCTTGTAAGCACAGATACACATAGTTTTCAGGAATTCATACTTCTGCTTTACGTTTATTCCACCCTTTCAAAATCATCTGTAAAGGACTAAAGGATTTACAGGATCACAGAACAAACGTTCCTTTAAGCCGCAATCCACTTCAACAATACAACCCCAAACTCTATAAAATCAATCCGATGAAAGTGTAGTATCTGAATGTTATATTAACTACAAAGTTTCGTGGATCGAAAAGTTATAAAGTTAATGAGAAGGCCTGACCGCAGTGCTCCACACGAGCTAGCCACGAGCGGCGGGCGAGGAGGAGAGTGAGTGCGTGTGGTCTCGTAATAATCGTAATAACACGTACTCAGGGTGACGGCGGCCCTTTCATCCGACGGCATAACACGTTTAATGTGTCCCTTTTTTCTTGCTGTCTTCTTACCACCCAACAAACCAATATGATTTCTATAGTCAAACTATAAGAATTTATAAAGTTTAATTTAATATTTAATAGAATTTGTTAATATATAAACTATAATCGGTCACGGCATTACTCAAGAATAATTTTTCTACCAATGAAGAATAATTATGTTTCAGAAAACAACAAAATATTAAACTTAAGTATCATTAGCTGATATGGTAACTAATATTATAAATGCAAATGAGACTTTGTTTGCTTGTGTCGTTTTCATGCAAAAACTATTGTTTCATTTTGAATCAATTTAGATATAAACTTATTTTTAAGCAAGGAAAAGCAAAAATATAACTTGCACGGTTTAAATAAAAAATGATGATTTAAATAAAAATTAAGCATTTTATTAGCATAGTCAATACAGGTTGACTCGTTTTTAATAAAATGTAGTTACGCTGCCGTAGTTGCAGGCAAATTTTAATTTTTTTCTGAATATAAAATATCTGTAGTGCCATGATGGCTTAAATTGTATAACCATATTAATGAATTTACATTCACAATTTTCATACACCTTTTGCCTCTTTTTAAATTTGAAGTTTACTCTTATGCCCCTTAGTGGTTATATAAGGTTAATATAGATCTTCTGTTATCAGGCGGTTGCAAATAATATGCAAGTCCAATGCAAATGCCACGGAATGTCCGGTAGTTGCCAACTGAAAACCTGCTGGCGCTCAACCCCAGATATTCGAATGGTGGGGAAAGTTCTAAAGGAACGTTTTAGGACTGCGGTTCTCGTCGATCAAAACAATACTGGAGATGATAAAGCGGAAACATTTAAAGTGTAAGTTATTACGAATTTATTTTCAACAAGAAAATTTAATTTTATTTTATTTTACTTGTTTCAGAATAAAAACGTCTCGCAAGAAACGTGTAAAAATGCGCAACAAAAAGGAATGGATTGTCCGCAATGGTAATCAGCACATCAGTAAAGAAAAGAACAAACGCTCATTATCCTTCGACTTGTTGTATTACCAAAAATCGCCAAATTTCTGCGATTTTGATGCCAGTTTAGAAGTACCCGGCACATCTGGCCGAGAGTGTATTCGTAATTCAACAGGGCAGGACAATTGCTCCTCGCTGTGCTGTGGCCGAGGATACAATTACGTCCGACAGCGTCGCACTGAGCGCTGCAATTGCAAATTTATCTGGTGCTGCAAAGTCGAGTGCGACACCTGCGTCGTCGAGGAGTGGAAAAGCATTTGCAATTGAAGCAACAATTTGCAATCCGTAATATAATTTTATCGATATTTGTCATCATTCGCAAACATTCCACATAAACTCATAAAATCATTTAGTTCTTATTGCAAGTTTAACATAATATGCTGATGTAAATAGTGTACATGTTCATCATAATTAAGCTTTTATTTATTCGCACACAGCCTAGGTGTTTAATATCGTAGTCATTTACGGCGATTATTTATTATTTGAGCATGAGAAACGCGAGGTTTGCGAGTGAGTTTCATGCGTGCACCGCCGTCGGCGTTATGCAGCGTTAAATTTGTAATAATGCAAGATGCGCACGTCCGCGCGGGGAAAAAAACGAAACAACGACATAACTTCGCGCCGGTGCGCGATTTGAATTGTGCACGTACGAAGCGGTGTGCGTACATTACGAATACGGAAACGCAGCCAACAGACAAAAACGTGTACGACTCGCCGGGCCGGCATCAATATTAAGGATTGATACGGCGGTGAGAGCGCGTCCGAGTCGACGCAGGCAATAAAAAGATAATTTGTTGTTTGACATTGCCGATGAAACTGTGAAACTATACGTACTTACAATGATGGAAAGGCGCATTCCTCGCGAACGCAAACGTAATAGCGCCCGAATGCGGGACACACCATTTTATTATATTTATTTATTTATATTTTATTTCCATTCATCCCGGCGCGACGACAAGACGATGGCTTTTTATGCGCACATGAAATATTTAGATTGAGATACGCCGATGACGCCAAACGCCTAATGCGCACTTTACTGCTTTCATATCATATTCGATAGAACCATTTTTGGGTTGTAAATAATTTTATACGACGTTTAATTTATATTTACACTTATATTTTGATGAATGTAGTAGTAGTAGTAGTACCTATCTACGTCCAAGGTTTGATTCGTGTACATCTTTGTTAGAGGTAAATTATGAGAAATTCGAACTGTTATATTTTTGCTACATACAGGGTGCCACATGTACTTAATTATTTATTTTTAGACCTTTTCTGAATCATTATAACGATTTGTAAAAGTATTATAGTGTAGTTGAGTAGGAAATAAGGTGTGTTTAATTTGATCTGTGTACAAATATGAATATACAAACCCATTTTGTTTTTATATAAAATACATTAACTCCGAGAATTTATAAATTTAATTTATATTATAAATGTGTAATGATTTGTACACTTTACATAACACATTTCAAGATTTTCTACCGGTAATCTAAGGATTGACAGCTTGAAGTCGTACAACCGCAAATACGATTATCATTTCCACCCAAAAGGAAACATTAATCTAGGTCGAGGACGCATTAGCTTGCAGTCCTAAAAGTGCTATATCTACATACTTCCAAATTCAATTCCCTAATCAAATTATAACGTGCACAGCGATCAACTTTCTAAATAAACAGTTTTGAAATGTTTAGTAGAGATTCTGATTCTGTGCATGCCGGTTTATGTATCGGCGACTGGAAGTGGGCACCATGTCGAAGTTGCAAATTGAGGATTTGCCTGATCCTGAGGATCGCTTTGTTTTGGAAGAATGTCTCGCTGTTGGAGTGTGTGGTAAAGTGTACGCCGCTTGCGATTCGGAAAACAAAAATCGCAAGGTGGCCATCAAAATGTTGAAAATTACCCGAGAGAGTTTTCTTTACATCCAAGAAGAATATAGAGTTCTCCAGGAATTTTCAAATCATCCAAACTTTCCGGACTATTATGGTACGTTTCGCAAAACAGAAGGCAGAGAAGATGAAGTTTGGTTTGTGATGGAGGTAATTAAAAAATATTATAATTGTTTGTAAAAATGTAGTAAATTATTTTGTGTAGTTGTGCGAAGGAGGCTCTGTGCTGGATTTAGTAAATAGTTTACTAAATAAAAACCGACGAATGTCTGAAGAACACATTGCTTTCATTCTTAAAGAAACAATCAAGGTAACAAAAAATATTTATTCAAAATAAAACACAAATTAACTAAATTTTATATTTAACATAGGCAATAACTCATCTACATGAACAACGTGTAATGCACCGCGATATAAAAGCAAACAATATTCTTCTCACCAAAGAAGGTGAAGTCAAATTAGTAGATTTTGGTTTGGCACGACATTTAAGTAGTACATTTGGAAAAAGTGATACACGTCTTGGGTCGCCGTGTTGGATGGCACCTGAAGTGGTAACAAGTACTCCGCAGGACGAAGAATCGGGTTACGGAAACCGGGCGGATGTTTGGGCACTAGGAATAACTGCTATTGAGTTGGGTGATGGAAAAGCCCCATTTACTGATATGCATCCAACAAGGGCAATGTTCCAAATTGTACGAAACCCTCCACCTACCCTGTACCGACCCGCAAATTGGTCGGAACCATTCAATGACTTCGTCAATGAATGTTTAGTGAAAAATCCCGAGCATCGACCATTTATAATGGAACTTAGCGAGCATCCTTTTATGGAATTAGTGCCGGAGAATAATTATCATGTAAAATGAATTAATATTTTTATCAACATTTATCTAATTGAGTTCATTTTTAGTTAACACAAGAAATAAAACTACTCCTCTCTGATATTGACAAACATAAGAAAGTACCTACAAATGACACATTAGTTTTGACCAATTTATATAAGAGGGCAAGAGATGAAGATCTGCAACCTATGTATGTAGAAGATCTAGCCGCCTTAGAGAAAATCAGCGAAGAGTCAGTTCTGCACGAACTGCACGCTAGAATGAAGATGGGCCAATTTCATACTTTCATTGGAAACATTCTCTTGGTTTTAAATCCTAATGTCAAGCAAGAAATTTATGGTGAACTGGTAATTAAAATTATATATGAATTAACTAATTAATCATTAAACTTTTTTTAATATTTACAGTTTCACAAAAAATACTCTTGCAAATCACGATCGGAAAATTCTCCACACATTTATGCAATTGCAGAAGGAGCTTACCAAGATGCTTTACATCAAATAATTCCACAAAACATAGTATTAGGAGGAGAAAGTGGGTCCGGAAAAACAACTAACTTTATGCACTTACTTGATCACTTGTTGTATGTTGGACGAAATGATAACATCAACAGTAGTCGGCTTAAAGACGCGATGAAGCTTATTCACGCATTTACGCATGCTTCAACACCTTACAATGATTATTCCACTCGAGCTGTCTTAAAAGCAGAGGTAACTTTCGGAAGCACTGGAAAGGTATCCGGTGCTATATTCACTATGAACCAACTTGAAAAATGGCGCGTTTCATCAGTTGACATGACACAATCAAACTACCACATGCTATATTACTTCTATGACGGAATTGAATCACAAGGCGATCTTAAGAAATACCAATTAGATTCAGGAAGAAAGTATCGCTATCTTCGTGTTCCCGATGATAACACTTCTAGAACAAAACCACGTGATAACCCTCAAGTTAATGTAAAAAAGTGGGATACTATACAAGCAATTTATAAAATGTTTGATTTTGCTGAAGAACAAATTGATATGATCAATAAAGTCTTAGCAGCCACTTTACTCATAGGAGATGTTAAATTTTATCAGAATGATCAGGGCGTAGCAGAAATTGAAAACGAAGAAGTGGCTGCTGCAGTCGCTAACTTATTGGGTGCAGATGAAAAGAAGGTAATTTGGTCTTTGACAAATTATTGTTTGATCAAGAAAGGAACAGCAGTACGTAGAAGACACAGTTGCGATGAAGCTAGAGATGCCAGGGATGTTTTTGCAAACACCATGTACAGTCATATGGTTGATTATGTCATCAATTTTATCAATCACCGACTATCTTATGGAAGGACTATTTTGTAATAATTATGTACAAATTTTACGAACTTTCTCATCTGAAGTTTTTTTTTGCAGCGGAGAAAAATATTCCGTGCGCTTATTGGACATTTACGGTTTTGAATGCTTCAAAGAAAATCATTTAACGCAACTATTTATTAATTGTTTAAATGAACAATTGCACTACCATTTTGTGCAACGTGTGTTTGCTTGGGAGTGTTTAGAAATGAATGAAGAAGATGTTCCGAATACACCGTTGCATTATTATGATAACAAAGCTACTTTAGACGAAATTTTGGGGAAACCAGAAGGTTTATTGATGCTTATCGATGATGCTTCCAAAATGGCTAATACTGGAGAGTACATTATCGGTACGGTGTCTATAAATAAGTACTCTCTTTAATAAACACAATTTTTTATTTGTAGATTACTTAAAAACCCCACAAAGAAATCATATAAGTGTCGTTGGGGCTATGGAATTTTCTGTTTCACATTACACAGGAAAAGTTACCTACAACGCAAAAGAAATGCCCGATAGGAACAGAGATTTCCTACCTCCCGAGGTGATTGAAACTCTAAGACTATCCAAAAACAAACACATTAAAGCATTGTTTACTGGTAAACTGACAAGAACTGGAAACCTTACAACTTCCTTTGAAGGATCACTACCTAAAAGCAAGAGTAGATTAAAGTTTTCATCGTCCTCTGATGAAGATAATCAAAAGGTATAATTGTCAACAATATTAATTATATCTTAGAATATTATATTATAATTTGTGGGACACGTGTTTTGAAAGTTTGACCTTTGGCATCGTCCATAAGTAACAGTTGTGCGACTAACGTGTGAAACTAAAAGAAACTAATAAAAGTTTCGCAACACGTGTTCAGCAATATAATTTCTAATAATATTTAAAGATAGAGATGAAAGTATTCTATTCTTTTTAATAGGGTGGAAACCAAGAACAACAATTTTCACAAATTACCAAAATGCGTACAACCGTAGCAACGTTTAGGTCCCTGTGTTTGAATTTATTGAAAGAGCTATCGGTAGGTGGATCGGCGGGCGGCACTCATTTCGTCCGTTGTCTACGTTCTGACCTAGATGGACAACCCCGTGGTTTCCATATGGAAATTGTAAAGCAACAGCTTCGAGCCATGGCGGTTGTCGATACAGTTAAAGCACGCCAAAAGGGCTATCCACACCGAATTCCATTTTCAGAGTTTCTACGAAGATACAAATTCCTTGCATTTGAATTTGATGAAAATGTCGAAATATCCAAAGATAACTGTCGTTTGCTTCTAATTCGTCTAAAAATGGAAGGATGGATGATTGGAAAATCAAAAGTATTTCTAAAATACTACAATGAAGAATACCTAGCCCGACTCTACGAAAATCAAGTAAAGAAAATTATCAAAATTCAATCAATGATGCGTGGCTTTCTAGCAAAGCTAAACTTAAAGAAACAACGATCTGGCCAGGTCGTCAGCAGCTATCCAATGTCCGCTGATGAATTAGAAGAAGACAAAGCGGCAAGGGTGTTGCAGAAAGGTATTACACACGTTACATTGCATGTTATACCCTGACATTATGAAACTGTAACTTCGAAATTGTTTTAGTTGTCGACGAGGATCTTGATAACGATAATGATAATGATAACGATAGTGTAGACAATGAACAAGACGATTCCGAAGTTAATTCGCAATCTGACTAAACTAAACATGATATGACGTACATTTCATCCGATCCCTTAGAATATTTGATGCTGAAACTAAATAATATAAACTAATAAATAGTTACTTAAACATTGTAGCATACCGAGGAGTGGCTGTTAGAAAAGCATATGCTCCTCTAGTTACCAATCCAGCGGAGAAGTTGGACGCGTCTACTTGTAGATTTATTCGCATTTACGCATCCAAATGGAAAGCCAAAACAATGTTTCAAGTATTATTGCAATACAGAGCTGCAAGATATCATGATTTGTTTAACTTTTCACAACAGGTAATTTAATTTTGCTTTATATAACCACAAATTGTCATTATTGATTGATATCTGCAGGTGCATTTATTCAATCAACAAGCCGTTTGTGCCCTTCAAAGATTTAACAATAACATAGGTCTGGATTTGGTTGACCGTCATGCAAAACCTCAAGGGTGGTTGGGAGAAATTAAACCATCTGTTTTAAAGTTACCTTTTAGGCTGATTGACATTCCATATTTTGATACATCATACATGTGTGATCCTTTATCAAATCCTGGGTAAGTTAAGAGTATTATTTACACCTAATAAATAATAAACCTCAATTTTCCATTATTTCAGGGTAGCTCTGGATAAGGACGAAGATTGGGACGCACCTTTTCAATGGCGGGACAATGTCTCCTCGAAGATCACTAACACCTTACAAGAAACCAAGATAGCCATATCCAAACCATACTCAGCCAATATAAAATCTCATTCTTCAATGCACAGACCAACCGAACCTTTAATAAACCTTCCTTACTCCCGAGATCCCGATGAGCCTATCAGAAGATTATCTACCATGTCCATGGAACAACCAGAGCCTAATCACGGCAGAAATCTATTTCGAAATAATAATCCTCCACCTCCACCAATGTCAAACTATTCAACCCAATCATATGGTTTTAATCAAACATCAACCACTGCACGCCATTCATACAATCCAATGCATTCTTATTCAAACACAAACTATAACAATCAAAGAAACCAACAGAATTCAACATTCCCTCCCAAAGATCATGAATACAATGGTACAGGAAACAGAATGAATCCCATAGCTGAGTTGCGTACAATAGGTCGCAAGAACACTCCGGAATCAGGAAATGAAGATGATCCACCATTTAACTTCCAAGCAATGCTTAGGAAGACAAATGTTAATCGAGACTCAATGAAACGAAGCGTGGAGACACTTCGAAATCTATCATTCAAGAATCGTAAAGGATTTAGCCAGGAAAATCTGGTTTACGATAGCCGACAAAATAGTTTAAGGAAGAACAGAAGTGTTGATAGTTTAGATCAACGGCAGCGACAGAAGTTGGAACTTGCTCCGGGTATTTACATGGAAGGTATGGTTGCCGATTTATAAATTTAGTCAAAATGTTATAAAGAAAAAGATATTATACTCAACTCAACTTAAGTAGAATATAGAATTAAGTGGTTATATGGCGGTTATGTAATTATTAGCATGTTGAAAGTTAAAGTAAACAAGTAACTTATCTTTATTACGTAGTAATAAAATTCAAAATAAATCAAATTGAAGATCCATCTCGGCGAAATCAATGCTTCTTGAAACCAAGTTCAAATAAAATTTAAAAAATAATACAAATATAATAACACTCTGTTTTCTGGCACACATGTGATCAGAATAGTTTTATCATTTGTTTTGCCTGCGTTAATATTAATAAACATATTCAGTAGTAAACAGGATAATAATACATTTATACAAACACTTAATACCTACATAGAATATTCTCTGTGTCCTTCAGTGCATCTTTACGCCAGCAGTTTCACGTCGAAATGTACTCAGTACTCAGTAATGATTATAGCAGATACAATAAATATAAGTTATTGTAAAAAATGTACATTTCAATATGAACAGCATGTCACATATGACATCGGCGGTAAATAGATTTTTGATCATATATATCGGTTTATAAAATTCTTCTTTTGCTTTATCAATTTTTCATAGGTTTATCATAGGAATTTTCACGCGTCGCGAAAGTTCTATCGGCGCCATTATCAGACACAGTCGGTAATGACTTTATAAGGATGCACATGGATGATGAAATTAAAAAAAGATGAATGAATGGATGCGTGCGACCTCCACCATAACATGAAATTTGCGCATTGCGTGTCTGTCTTAAACTGAAAACAACAAATGCACATCATTAAAGACCGTAATTATAACTAAATGTAACACAATGCAAACGACTGCCCACTTACACAATAATAACAGGTATACGCGATATGAGAACAGTTTGGGTTAATCATCTACATGTTATTGTATATCGAGCGTTATCAATCGTAACGAAAGTAAAGCAGTATCAATTAGTTACAAACGATAGTAAGATACGACAATTAATAATGAGAAAATCGCAAACTACACACTTAAAGAATCTACTACGAATACAATACACTTAATTTCAAACAATTACTACCTCTAGACTGTAAAGACTAACTTGGTTAAATATTTGCTGCATCATTGCTGTACAATGACATCGCATTATCTACATACGCTAGATGCTACAGTGATAATAGTACTAAATGTAGCAGCCACTTCTAACTAGGAGTTGACGACAAAAATTACAAAAAAAAAGCTTTTTACATATGCGGGGCAGTGTCATATGCCGTTTTCTCTTCTGGTTAGTAGGACAAACAGAAACAAACCAAATAATATTTAGGGGTAGTAAGAATTCTAAGATCACTGATCTTCCCCGAACTTTCATTCGTATGTAAGCAATATTTTTTAACGCTTTGTTTTGCGAGTGTTTCCGTTTAAATTGATTCATGCTCATTCCGAATTATAACTTCTATGTGTAAACGGACACGTTTTAGTGCATGGCGTTGTTACCTTGATCAAAACAACTAGGATTAATGATGTTGATGAGATCATTCTCGGACATCGTGGCCAAAGAAGGCGGTACCATCCGCAACTCCTCCTCGCACTTCTTCTCGTTCTGCATTTCCTTCAGAGTTGTGACGACAGGGCCAGTGATCGTTCCTTGCATTGGTATTGATACCGTCACAGGCATCATAAAATCTTTGTTGCTTTGCGCCATAGATTTCGTGATGGTGTCGACAAGTGTAGCATTGTCGGCAGTTGTGAAAAAGTTGTTCCCAATTTGACCAGCGGTGGTCTGCAATTGACTCATGGGCATAACTTCCCCGTTCGTGGTTGTAAGAATTTCGCTAATGTTCTTTTGCGTTTCAAGCAAGTCTGCAGCAGCGCTAAGAATAATGGCATTTTCTGGACCATTTACCACAAGTAAACTTGTGTTAGATGAACTTAACAACGGGTTAGTCATAGTTGTCTCCACATTGACGTTATGCGGGGCCGTAGATTGACAAATAGGCTGCAGGTTTGTGGATGGTAGCAGTGCGTCCTGAGTGGCACTTCGGCACATTAAGCTCGGTGATATTTGCGAATTTAAAATTACCTCCGGCGATATATTCGAATTGGGTGTGTTCAACGCCGGAGGAGCCAAAGGCGATGTCAAATTTGTGTTTATCATCGAAGGCATCATAACATCCTGACTTAGTAGCATATTTGACTCTTTAGGAGACACCATGCTTTCCACTCCACAGTTAACTAGTACGTTTAATCGCTCTGTGGGCATGGTGTTACCCAATGTGTTGTTTAGTAAACCATTTTCAATGTTTTGAATGACTGTTTGGTGCTGAGCTGATGCCAAAGCAGCCTCGGCGACCGCTATCGGAGAAGTACCAGCCTCGTGTTTCTCTTCGTTCGATACAGTCGACATCATCTGTGGCGCCATGAACGAGCTGGTCGTGAGAACGGTGTTGCTAGGTTGTTGTAAAAATGGATTTTTGTTTTCAATATTCGTTAAATAATTCTCAATACTTTGGGCAGTCTGTGCTGGCAGTGGTACCAAGTTATGTTCCATCATTCCGAAACTCTGTAAAGTAGCCATAGAAGGCTCTTTCGTATTGACCAAATCTGCCACCGTGGCCATGGGCATCTTTCTTCGCAGATCCATGACCTTCATTTCGGGAGATCGCTGGGGCGAGTAATGATTCGAAGTCTCGTCAATAATTTCACCGCATACAGATGTACGTCCGCCGGACATCATATCCATGCTGTTTTCGTTCACCAAACTCAAATTCGAATTCTCATTCATGTTTGCGTGGACCATTTGTTGATGATGCATCATATCCATTGAGTTGTCGTTAATCATCGAGAGATTCGAATCGCCTTGTTGTACGTCCAACGAGCTCTCAGAAATGTGACGGAATCGCGGTTGCAGCTCGGAGGCGTCCATTACGGAATTCTGGCTGTTCTCGTCCATAAACTCCTGCTTCATAGATGAATTACATCTCATCGGTGGCGACATAGAATCGGTGTTCACGATGCTCGCGGCGGACAGGCGTCGCTGTGACAACGGCACAAGACTCGTATCCGGCGGTGGCATTATTTTCGATAAGAACGACACTTGTTGAAGCGGTGAGGTTTGTGCCTCAATGCAAACTGTAAAATGCGTAAACGCCGATTAGATAACTAGTATTCACATTGATGCTTATAATTAAATATTAGCTGCCAACAAAGCCACTGTAAAAAAGGCTCAGGTGATGGTTTAATGTCTCATATATCGCCATAGTGCACATTATTCGCACCGTCGACCAAAATTTGGCAATCAACTTTTGAATTGTCTTAGTGACGATATATGAGACCACAACAAACAATGTTAATATCTCATTCGACTAATGCTCGTAAAATGTGTATATCTTCAAACAGTCATAAAGTATCTCGCGCACAGACATTCACTCAATCAAAAATGGAAGATTCACTACAAGAAGTAATTAATTAATCAAATAAAAAAGAGAGTTTCAATACACTGCAAATGAAACAAATTGTCATTTTGTAAAGAAATAACGTTAAATTTGATCAAGAACCAACACCAAGATTTTACACGTTTATGGTTAACTAACTAAAAATTGATAAGCAATATGTGCAAGACTTCAATTTCGCACGCAAATAAAATGCAAACAAACACTTTTTTGAAACACGGCAAACAAATGAAAAAAAGCCCACCCAGCATTCACGTCGTGGAAATGTAGAGATAAAGGCTTTAAATGAAAGCAAAGAAAATGACAAATAAAACTTACATGTTAAAACTGCACTTTTTTTAAATATTTTTTGCAGCTTTAAATGTTTGTTCAATGCATTATTTATACGAAAACTAATTAATGGTGACTGAAACCAATAAAAAGCAAGTTATGAGTGAGTTAGTTACAAATGAACGTTAAAATGACACACCAAATAAACATAAAACGCGTAAAAGATCTATGAAGAAGGCTCCCAGGAAACACGACATACGCATTCAAATCCCCCCAAAGCTAACAACTATCAAAACGAGAAGAGAACCACCCACTCGTTTAAGTACAATAATAAAATATAAGAGAAACGTATTTTCCACATCATTCTGCAGCATTCGCTTCATTGTAACACTCACACACGCCATCATTCGGTTCACTCTCGCTATACGCATTCGCACCAAACTAACATTGTTTGTTCGCAGTAATTGCATTTATGTATTAAATCAGGTACGCTTCCTGCAAATAAAGGTTAATATATGAGATCCTTTGAATCGTGTGAGATGATGTTGCGATGGCTGATGATGATGATGACCTAAAGAAAATCTCAGTGCTGCGCTGTCGAGAAAAAACGCAAACAGAACAACAAAACAAAACAACAAACGAACATATCAAAAATGTCAGTTACGAATAAGATTTTAAATTTAAAAATAAATGAATATAAAAAGTGGAAAGTATGATGTAATTAATTGTTTGTGTTTGTGTGTGCATGTGTGCGCGTGTGGGGCGTGTATGTTTTGTTTGCAAATTTAAGTGTTTTTCTGTGTGATAAAGTTTTAAAACTACTATATGAATGTACTATGTTGAAAGTTTTGATATGTTATGTGTTCAAGAGTGTGTAATGATGAAAATGTAAGTGGTGTGAGTTTATCATGTTGTGTAGTGTGGTGTGTTCATTTATTAAGTACCCGTGATGCGCTTAGACCTGAATGACGCGGCTGTTGACGGAGAATTAGGCTCCGCAGGCTGACAGAAGACGACGGCAGGCGGCCCCTCTGCGTATACAGAGCCTGTATGCTGTATGAGACAAAGCGAAATTTGAATAATAAAATTCAGAACTTTGTTGCTCATACATGGGCGTCGCAAGACATTCTATAAGGCTTGAGTATAACATATAAGCACGAAAGCAAATCAAATATCTTGCGACTAATTAAAAAATTTGAAAAGTTTCCCGACGCACGCCAAACAAGTGTCCTCCCTTGGTCATCTGTTGACCGACGCTTTGTTCTCGCGGTAATCGAAAAACTTTTCAAGTACATAATTCTTTCATTAATATAATAAGGATATTACAATATTTAAAGTTTGATATGAAATCACAACGTAAACAAAAGCTTGGTCTGAATTTAACAATAAAAATTTTGTATTTTGTATGATCATTTGCTTAACAATAAATATTGCTTTTCTCAGTTTTTCATGTTTATGATAACACAACATGACGTGATTTATTAATCTGGTACCTATAGAGAAACACAAGAAACATACGGAAGTAAAAAATCATCAATGAATGAGAGTCACACTGTTTCCAAGCCACTAAATAAAATGGCAGCGACGAAGGTGCCCATAGTAATAAGCGTCTCTAAAACGCGCCCACTCGCCGCCGACCCATCAATCATTCTCAATCGAGCGCGCACTTTATATATGCGCTGGCCGACAAACAGGACGCGAGAAAATCGTGCAAAATTATATTTGCCTTCGACGTTTGATAATCGCTATAAACGATGGAAACTTTCGCCGCCCAGCTTTGCAATAACAACGACAAATATCGTACTACATCAGTCACATATGCTTGACATGTCAACTCATGCATTCGCTTTGCATATTATGTAAGTTAATGTTCGACCACTCAAACGCACCCCAATCAACCACTCGCTCCACTCGCAGGCGCACACTCAGATATATCAAAAATCATTCAGAATGTAACAACAGATTAACAACGCCATCATCGAGTCGACTCCGGCCGACTCGATGCCAGATCGCACGCATCGAACACACTCAAATTGGTCACACAAACCGCAAACGTATTTATAACAAATTCCGCACTCGCTCATTTATTCAGTTTATCGCCTGTCTGTATGTGAAGCATATATTTGCCGTTGTTGTCATTGTTTTAAGTATATAAACCAAATTGATACTAGATTTGTCAAAATTTAAAATAATTATCACAAAAACTTGTTTTGAAAAAAAATCACATATCTTTGTTTTGTCATTTGCTAATTTTAAATCTGCATTTTAAAATTTTGACCAATCCGATCAACTACTTTACCTACATATGATAAAGCATGTCGTAGCAAGAATAAACACATTGTTAGAATACAACTTGCTAGGTTACGTGTAGCTTGCTGCAACATGATTTATCCACCACTCACTACATTAAGTTATCATGCATCATGCACAAAGCTAAATCAACTTAATAATGAATTTGTTGTCTCGAATTTATGGTGGCTATGTATTTACGGCTGAAAAAATATTTAATACTAAATGTAAATGACGCGGTTTAAGTAAAGTCGAGACAACCATATTAAGTCGATCTGATGTAATAAGATGATGAAATATATTTGACGCGAGCTTACCACTTGGCATTGCCCCGTTAACGGGCGTGTATACAAACGAATGTGGCTCGCTAGTTTTCCCGCTCGACATTACATACATCCTTACCGATACCGGTTCGGTTATGTCGGGGAGGAAAAATTGTGGCACTACACATATTAGGTGAGTCTGCAACAATTAAAAATATACATTAATATCATGTAAATTGTTTCTGTGTACGTGAACTCACTTGCTGTAAAAACTCTTTATCAGGAACAACTGATTGTTCCCATCTGCCTCGCGACTCGTCTTTCGTTTGGAAGTACACGACGGTGTCTTTGAGGAAATTTTTGCCGATAATGAACAACTCCAAGCCACCGCTGGCTGGACACGATGTTAACGACTTCTTACTAATTTCAGGCACGCCCGGAGGTTGTGCTAGATGATATAAAAAACACAGTTAAAATCAGCAAAAATGCGTGGATAAATATACATACTGCAAACGATGGGTTGTGAACACACTTGCAGTGTCTCCTGCATGCCGTCCGTGTGGGTAATAGTTGTGCGGAACACCATGCGACATCTCGTCGACTTTTTCTTCGCACGAGAACCGAGTTGGTCGGGAAACCGGTGTTCAACATCAACATTACGCTCCTTCAGGATGCCCACACAATCGCAAGTACCTTGCATGTCCTTGCCAGGCTCCAATTGTAATTCGATTACAATCGTGCCGTCAATTGTCTTCTCATTGCATGGTGTTGAGTTCTTACCACTGACTTTACACGCTTGGTAGAACATGTGAGGGGCAACTTTGCCTTGGTCTGAACCAATGAACACCTAAAGGATACGTATTATCAGTTCACCATGGTCATCAGTTCATCGTGAGTAACTTACTTGTAACGTGGCAGGTTTGTTATATCCAACAAGTTGAACAACAGGAAAACCATTCCCGCTTCTATCTTTGACCGCGCCACGACTACCTTCAGTTTGATAGCGCGCTCTGTGTTGCTGTTCAGGCTGGTAGATGATTGATAAGGATATATCTCCTGTAATATCAACACGTAATGATCATCACATCATCACCAAACACAAGCAAATCAACTTACGATATCTGGATGAGGCTTGTAATTGCGATGTTAATGTAATCGGTGCTGAATGTGGTATCGAGTTGAGAAGAGCATGTCCACGCGGTACAACCCGCCCCGAGTGTACTCCCTGCGTCGTGGATGCGCTAAAGGATGAGAAAGTAACTGAAGGTGCTGTTCTGATAAGCCTAAAAGGGTATGTAACATTTTTTCTCTGAACTATTCAAAACGATCCAAATGAACACAACGATTGCGACTTGATGAGATGGAACGAATATTCAAAGCGAAAACAAAAACTATAGCATATTGCCGGCGCCTCCACCAATTCGCCTCAATGCCGGCATTGGCAGCAATCGAATTTTGATCGTGACAGCAAACATGAAATATGATCCCTGGCGAGCTTTTTGCATAACCCACTTACGTAGTTGTGTCCCTATATGTATGTGTATGTTCAGGAAAGGAGTAGTTATCATTGACCTCATCATTTTCGAGCTTCACATCGACTTTCTGCCTTTTTGCCATTGCCCTATCAGCGTCTGCCCAATGCAAGCTTTCATTCGAGCTCAACATATTGTGGCGATCCACGTGATGGTCAAAACTATAAAAACAAAAGAATCAATCAAGTTTTAGAAACAAACCAAGGAAACATGATTTTACATTTAGAAAAAAATAGAAAAAAAAAACAACAATTACAAATTGCATTTTGAAATTTCTGGTTATTACAATGTAACTTATTACACCCCCCTTCCTTCGCATTGTCAACAAACACATAGATATAGAATACTTTTATAACAACTGTATTTGTTTTTAAAGAAATTATTTTTGATGTTTTTGATTTAAGAAGCGCTGCGCAACTTTATACGCAACTTACCCAAGACCACTATCGTTGGAATTATCACACGGGTCTAAACACCGCCGAGCCATGGATCGCGCCTTGCCGTTATAAGAGCGCGGAGCAGCCAGCCGTTTGCCACCAGGACGACCCTGCCGCAGACGCTCCTTCGTCTGCTGCCTGGGCACCATCGTCGGCGCCGTATACATTGTCATTTTCATACTACCTGTAAACAAGATACAAACATATTTGATAAGTTTTTAAATACATTAATAATCGCCTGTCGATGTACTATGGCGCATTTTCATAGAGAAATCGTAGTAAAGTGCATCATATTCAAGGTTAATTTTATATAGCTCATTATATTTGCGTTGCTTGGCAGCCACACTGCACTACGCACGAACACGGTGCTCTCCTCTAGACGTTTCAGCCGGAATGTCGTCTGCCCGCCTGGTCGCGTGCAACATTTATTTAGTTGCGTTCGCACTTATTATAGCCATATTGTAGATGCGTTATATAAATTTATTTTCGAAGCGCGCACACAAATGTTTCTCGCGCGTCTAAAGCTCATGCTAAATAACTAAAAATAACCCAAGTGCGAATTATACGAAATTCACATCTCTGCTTCCTCCCAATCAACAACCCGTAGCTTAAATTCTGAATATTTCTGAGCATAATCATGTAAAAATAGCTTGTTTATAAACTTACCGATGTTATTACAATTTTAATTACTTGTTTAGATACTAGACACTACTGAGTAAAATAATTTTATGTCAATAATATGCAGATATATTTTTGAAGCCTTCCATAAATTTTAACGCACAACCTCGCATAATGTAAATGAAATTAACCTCAACGCAATTAGCAGCCATTAATTAAAACAAAACTGCAACCGTTGCAACCAGGCGTTTAATGCGTAGCATTTATGAAAAAAGTTTGTAAACTTTGCAACTCGCTCCACATTTTACAAACGTTCATGACCTACGACATAAGTCGCTCGCGTAGTTTATATAACCGATTATTTCTGCTTCAAACTCAGGTCGTACTCGCTACTTAGAATTTTTTCAACGTACACGTAATCATGACAACAATAGCAAAATATTTGATTTACATTTTTGCTTTTTCGCTAGCTAATAAAGTATACACTGATAAAGCGCGTACACAAACATTGCTTAAAAATGAAACACGTGCCGAGGACCACATTAACATTTAACCATTATCTTATTATTCACGGTGCGCGCACGACTCGTATCTTTGTGAGTCGAGATGCGACACAATAGCTCAAACACACAGCCATTCACCACGCGTTCATTAATTATTTAGTGACAAATGCGAGATTCAAGTGGGTATATTAATGTTAGATAAGCGCTCATCATCCCATCTGGTTTGATCCTGTTTTTTTCGAGTGTTCGGAGTCTCTTGCCGCTGGATGATATGAGTATATTTAAATTAATCGCACTTAAAATCGCTGCGCGCGTTTGCATAAATTATGTTTGAACTTGCTTCCCTTATCACGCCAGCAATAAGTAAACTGTTTGTTCTTGCTTGCCTGTTTACGAGCCGTGGTTGCGTGAGCACACGGCGAACACATGATACGATACGATAATTACCGCGTCGATGCAGACCGATTTTCACAACAAGACACCGCGGCCCAAGGAGTACGCTTCTAATTACATTCGCAAATTTGTGTTCGTGTCGACATATACCAACATACTTACAGTATCACTCTTTAATCACTTGTTTTCTGCCCGGAAAAATATCACAGTGTTCTCACAAAATTAAAAAAAGAAAAAACATTTAAAACTTTGAATTATCACAGCAAGTTATACTACACACGCGTGCTTGGAAGCTTTCAAGCTTCAAGCAAAAGACTCGATAAACTTGTGCGACTAGTTTCGATTACTTCGAGGCTTAAACGCCTAGAATCATGTACACCTCGACTTTCGAACATTCAAAGTTCAGAGTCGTGGTGCGCGCGACGCGACGAGAAAACGTCTTCTTCGCATTCGCCGATCATGCGTGTCGATATCTGTGGTTGCAGTGCGTTGCGCTTCGCGTGTAGAGACTGACTGAATCGTCGCAGTCGCCCACGTACTTCAAGTCGCGAGCGCGAAGCTTTCGCGGGCGCTCGCGTTTTATTATTATTACTACAAATCGCATCCAACGCATCCCACTTATACGAGCGGTGAATGCGTAAGCAAGACGGCGCATGTTTTGTTTTCCTCCACGGAATTCCTGAACTTGCTAAAGATCAACAATTCAACAACCTAACAGGCAAACAAATACGCTAAAAGCATACTTTTTCATAACACATAGATAAATGATATTACTCCAGGAAATATTAAATTAGACCTTAGATTGAGTAATATCAAATTGTTTTCTTAAATTTTTTGGTAGCGTTTGTTTTTCGGCAGTTCGACTTCCTGACGTTCAACGCTCAAACCCTGACGTCAATCTGCGCCAGTCACCAGGACAACAAGTGTTGTCAACGGCCCTAGTCTAATTTAAAACCCGTCCTGCTCACACGCACGTACAAGCTTGCGAGGCGGTTCCGCATGTAACGACAGCAGAGCAAATAATGTGATAACGCCCGATGTTCGCAACCAAACTCGTCGTGTGTACGATGGCTAGCAATGTACAACATTTTCCGAATCGACGGGTTTCCGGACTTTCAATTCAACGCCGAGCTTTATTCTGCTCGGCGTCGTTAATGAATATTCATAATTTGTCAGTACTTGCGAGATAACTTTATGGCCAACATTCCTAAAACGGTCGAATGAACAAATTCATGAGCGGAAATTATCGCAATGCTACAAATTTAACTCGACAAGTCTTTATATGAACTCATTGCATATCTATAGATTTTATTCCTTTAATTATGTTTAATTGACAAAAAATGCAATTGGACCAAAGTTCATAATTACAGATATTTCAGTCTTGAAAATCATTAAATATTAATGTGTTATCGTTCTTTGTCTTTGCGTCAATCGACATCAAACGCACTTAATGTCTGTGTTGTTAACCTGATTTTTTCGCATCTCGCATCATCTCAGCGGCAATAAGTTCTTGTTTAGAAACCGCGGCGGTCGGACATTGCCTTCACGACGATAAGTAATGCAAACGACCTGCAATTGTGTCCTTCCTTCGCTGATAACCAACAAGTATAGCGGAACATAGATCAATGAAACATTTATTGATCTACCCGACGAGTTCATTTGTGTCCGTCTTATTTCAGCCGCATATGTGTCCCTCAATAGTGTTTATGTGTTCTTTTTAGTGACGCTCGCAAGAAGCTATAATTGCCGTTTAAACTTTTGCCTTATAAAGAAAACAACCATTGACGTCTTGTGGGCGAGCCATAAGAAAGTATTTCGCACTTTTGAATGGGAAGTAATATAACACGCTATCGCAAGTATGTGCGATAGTTTTTAGTTATAAGAATTGCACTGGATTGTGATGTCATCGATGATTATTTTAATTATTTATTGATGGCTTTGTCTTTGCCGAACCGTTCCCTTAAGCGGTATTTAATTGATGCGACAACTTTTCAAATGTCGTCCAGCCGACGCACTAGTCACATTCTATTTTTTCTTTCGTGAATAAAGAAACCAAAAATAAATTGTGTTTTGAAACATTTTTTTTGTTGAAATAAAAATCAATGACAAAAGTTTTAATTGTTAAAACACCACATTAATACTTATGCATGTATAGTTGTGAAACTATGTAAATGTAACTTTTAACTTTCACTTGCACAATCTGCAGAAATGCATCGGCGCTGCACATATGTATAAGGGTATTCAATGTTATACAGGTGAATGCAATAACCTGTTTTTAAATAAAACCTATAATTTAAGAAACAAAATAACCAAAAGAAAATTGGAACAATGTGTATATAGAGTGAAATCTTGCCGAAAAAAGATCAATAATCAAACTAGTTGGTATAAAATTTAATTTCTTTTTTTTAAGTATAAAATTATTGCTTTTCAGTATTTTTTGTAGGTGGGTAGGCATGTAGGTAATTTAATCTCTCCCTCAAATCAAGGACAAAATCTGCATGTTAATAATTCTATTAAGTGGTTAACTTATGATGATATTATTGGAACTGGTCCAACTTGTTCATGCACTCCCAAGGATTTTCAGTAGCGCATACAATCACGCCGACTGCTAGCCAGCAGGCGGTTCGACAAACTCGCGATGGACTTTGTATGCCTTCCGATTCATATTACAAAAGCATTCATTGCGTAAAACGCTCCTGCATTGTTTGTCAACATCATCATCTCATCAGCACTCAACTCCACGGATCGCGATTCGGCTGCATCATGCATATAGTATGCAAGCCTAGCGCAAACAGCCGTCTTGAATGTCTAATCAAACCTAAATAGATTAAACTATATTACCATTTCGATACAATTAATAACTAACAGTTAAATATTTGTTTATTCCTATCGGACTGTCAACTGATGCAGTCAAACGAATTTTCGTAAGAGCAAAGGTCATTTGTAACTTGTGTAAACAAATTATAGTTTCATTTGAACGTTTAAAATTATACATTGTGACACTAGAGAAAAATAAGTTTATTGTACATTAGCTTCCGACAAAGTTATCCAAAAATTTCGTTTTATTTTCTTGGTTTTCAGATGCTTTAGGAATAATTTAGACATAATTGATTTAGAATAATTGGGACAGAGACAAGTCAAACAAATCAAAGCTCTTAAAAGGTGGTCTTTAATCTATGTTATGTATAAATCAGCGACGGTCGTTCTAGTCTCCGAATCGGAGCAAAACAAAACAATGAAAATTAGTATTATGATGGTGATTATGATGGCTCATATTCATGTGATGCATAGATTCGCGGTTTTTTCAGCAGCGCGCTTAATGCATCAGATTTTTTTTAATGCACCAGCCGTATCAAAGGATACGGATTGGAAAAAAAACAATGAAAGGCTCGAAAGTTCTTGGAATTTTGTTAGCATACAAGCAAGGAGGTGTAAAAAGCAAAAATTGGAAATTCCAACAAAATTGACGAATTGTTTAGAATTTTTCGCGGCGCCCTTATGACAGTACCGCGGCGCACACTTTGGAAATCCCTAATAATGATAAATATACGGTCTTAAAGAGCAATTAATTTCTCATCGTAAGCGAATAGTGATATTCAAGAAGATGGATGCATTAATTTAAGAATGCTAATCAAAAATCTTTTCTTTTAAGGGCGTAAAGATATATATT